TGCAAATAAAAAAGATGAGTTGTTATTAGCAGCTATGAGTAGCGGGAAGGAGGAGGAATAAGGCCAATGAACAAATCTGTTTCCACCAAATCCATACACCTCTCCTTCTTCTTCTTCCTTTCTATCTCCTCCTTTTGCTTTCTGGGAACTAGTACTTGTTCATTTTGTCTCACCCCACACTATACATAAATATATATATATATATATATATATATATATATATATATATATATATATATATATATATATATATATATATATATATATATATATTCATTTCAAATGCATACTTTATAATCTTATTAACATATTTTTAAGCTATACTAAGGTTGAAACTTGGAAGAGGAAAAAAAAATAATCAACAAAGCAATATTATTAGGTATATGGATGAATTAATCAAAGTTCAAACTAAACATACCTTCTCGCGCAATGTTGCATTTTCTTCTAGCAGATCTTTCTCCTGAACAATTAAAGTAACCAATTGTAATTAGTAATGCCCGGGCCGTGTACCTTTATAAATATACCTATATTATGATTAGGAATGGTCAATATAAAATAGAAATCCTAAGTCTTTTAAGACCAAAATAAGAGTATAGTGGCATTGTGATGTGAGAATACGTGTTGACAGTGTGGCAGTTACAGTATGACAAAGTGGAAGCTGTTTTGAGTTCCTATTTTAGTCTTAAAAGACTTAGGACTCCTATTTTGATATTTTTAAAGTTTTTGTTTACACCAATCCATGGAGTTCTCCCTTGAATTATTCGATTCTACATTGAGCGGGTAACCTCTAGATCCATGTCATCAAAGAAACACTTTAACCACCTCAAGTTCGTTGTCGGACGCCCCTCACGTGCAAGCAATGTCTTTTCGAGTCTTGCACGTGAAATCTTATTAAATTTTTCAAAACAAGTCTCCAATACCGTATCAAGGAAACAACTCAAATAAAAGTTGAAGTTTATGGTTGTGGCCTAGTAATAGTTTTTTATATTTAAACAAAAACGACTTCTCATTGTATTGTATGGTTATCAACATACATACGGAGTATATCATACCTTGGCTTTTAGGCTCTCAATCTGCTCCATGTACACTTGAGTCTAGCACGGATAATATAATTCACCAAGTTATTTAGCAGCTACCTCAATGTAATTAATTAATTAATTAAGGGTCTCTGATTCGAAATATCCATAATTAATTGTCCATTCACCATACCAAGTAAATAGTTTTTGATGAGGAATTACACACTCACCCCGTGCTAAATTATTTGTCCTAGTTTGACTTTCATGTTACATTATAATTAAATAAGTTTTTATCGTCAAAGTGTATACAAAAGAGAAACTAGAACAAATAGCCTGGGACGATATATGGGAGTAGAGGCTAAAAGTATTTATACCTTTTTGGCCTTGATATTAATGAGGCTCATCTCCAGCTGACGGTCAATTTCATGAAGTTCCTGTAATGAACATGATCCCAATCCTTGCCCCAAAAGCTTCCTGCACAACATATATGTGTACGACTAATACTCCCTCCCTTTCATAAAACCCTTCTCCATTCGTTTTTTCTAATTCCCTAAAACACTTTCACTTTCTATTAAAAAACCACTTCTATCCCTACTTTTTTTTTCTACACTACCTATCACATCATACTTTAAGGAAAAAGAGAAGTTTATTTAGGGATAAAGAAAAAACGAAAGGGGAAGTTTATTTAGGGACGGAGGGAGTATACTGTAAGCAAGTCTACAAGTGTAGCTAGACTCATTGTATTTTTCTGTGCGTATAAGCTACTCAAAACTGCTTATTAGTTGTTTTTAACTTATAAGTCAGCTGATTACATGTTTCCCTATACTTAATTATAAACTTATAACCTGCTTCATTACATATATATATATATATATATATGCAAGAAAAAATAAGTAAGTCTTACCTACTTATTTTTAAGTTAGTTTTTTCGTTTCTCCGTTATGACCAGATTATTTCCTAACTATTTCTCACCATTTATGAATAATTTGAGTCATGTTACTTCTCCCAAGAAATATTTGACTTATAAGCAGCTTATAAGTTAAAAGCTACTTATCATCAATAAGCCAATAAGTACCAGCATAAAGAACCACCCACATTATTACTATATAACGTGTCTAAAGCAAAGCGATGAGGGTAGAATTAGAGGCGATACCGTTGAGCGGTTTCGAGCATCTCTATCTGCTTTGACATCATAGTTATGTCGTATTTGAAGCGCTGCTGCACATCACATGAAAATTTACTTGTAAATGGCTGTCGTTGGGTGTCAATTATTTGTTACTGTAAAGTTTTAAACCAACTGAACTTATGATTTTACTAAACACAAATGCGATATGTGTTTTATTAAAGGAAACCAGTCTAGCTTGCCTAATTACGTACCAGCCCAACAACAATGAAGCCATTAATTAACACCAAAACCTAATTAATAGTATACATACGCTAATAACACCATTCGACATGAGGTTTACCAATCCACAACTCGAGCAATAAAACATCAAAGTTTTGTTTAAAGATTTTTTTTTGTCTTAAAGAGATTCATATTTGAAAGGAGAAGTAAAAATTAAAACCAGGCCCTGACCTGGATGTACTGTGGAGGAGCATTATCAATACTGATGCGAGTTTCTTTTGTGCTTTCACGGTATCTCTCTATTATTTCTCCAATGCTGAAATGTAAGGTCCAGTTTAAAGAGATTCAGTTTAAAAGGATATATACATAGGGCTGAGAGGAAATCCGATCTTAATTCTGCAACTCTAGTACATCTCATTTCTCAACAAAAATGTTCATTTTCAGGCCTTCAAAATCTAAAATAAGGATTCATCATATTCTGAAAGTTGTTACTTAGCTTGCTTGACTGATTTTTGGTCACGCTTAATACCGTTGCTCTATTTTTAGTGTTTTTCCGTTTGAAACCATCTTAGTTGCTAGTTGTCTAAAGTTCTAAATTACCGGTAACACTGAAGTTTCTGAAATATGACAAAACTAAACTTCCACTAGTATGAAGTCTATGCAGAAACTAAAATAATTATTTTTACTATTGATGAGACTTTCAATTGGTATCAGAGCAAAATCACCCAAAACAATTGATTAGATCTTGCGAAAAAGTGTCACGACTATATATGGAACCATATCGCTAGCTCGATCAGTGGGTCAAATACATGCTTCAAAGTTCAAGCACAAATTTTGATGCTTGGAAAGGATGAATGATTGTTGATATTAATGTGTGTTTAAGAGTGATGCGAAGAAGTGATTAACGAAGGATGCACAATTTTATTGGGAATAAAATAGGACAGTGGACTAAGGAAGAAAAGAGAGGATCTCAATCTAACAACAAAGTACTTGATACTCTATTTAGAACAATTGATGGCATGTTCTTGAGCCAAACTAGTCATTATTTTAATGTCAAATAAGCACGAGATCTTCTCGATTTTATGAACTCTAAAAAGGGTGAATATGAACTCATAGCTAAACTGCTTAGAGCTAGAGTTATGAGCATCAAGAATGAATCTCTTGATCTTGCTGACAAAAATATTTAAGATGAAAAAATGGTTCTTAAGATTCTCAAAGCCTTCCAACTAGGTGCAAAACTTGAGTTAAATCATAAACATGATTCATGAGCAAAAGATGAAGGATTTCTTTTCATTAAGAAAGTTAATTACTCAACTGAATTAAACTCTAGATGATGTCATGAACCAAATTTCAAAAGAGGTTAAAAGTAGAACTCTCATGAAGGATGAGACTTGATGGGTTTTAATCCATAGTGATTTTCAAGAAAATATAAATCACATGTAATATGTATGTTAAACATGTTAACAATATTGATAGAATTTGATAATAATTGGTCTTATTGAATAATGAAGGTTACATCAATATTTATCAAGAATACATGAAGAATCCTAATCAAAGTAGAATAAGGAATTTTATGAGAATAAGTGGATAATGACTAGAAGTAGAGACCGATCTTCGTTGCATGATGAATGGACTTGAGAATATATATACGTTAGCCAAGATTTTTTTCTGGGAGAGGTTGACAATTGGAGCGAGAGCGAGGGGTTATCTAAAGGAGAATATTTAGACTGACACAAATGTATATAGAGAGTAAACTCAATGTACCTGGCCTGGTGTGACTTATCTTTCATGATCACGGCGGATTCATAGGTGGTTAACTATATATACATCATACATGTCGTGGTTGGTTCCCTTGACCTCTATAAGTATATCTTCTCTAGGCATATAGAGGGGATAGTCAATCGAATATACTGAGATTACGTTTGGTACACGAAACTCAAACTATGGAAATAGAGACAACAATTTGAATTCTGTTGTTTGATAGCATAAAAAATGTGGATTTGGAACTAGTACTGCCAAACATGAATTAGAATTGGAGAATTCAGTTCCATCCAAATCAATTCCATAGAATCTCAATTCAAATTCAATTCCAATTCCGTCAATTCCACATACCAAGCAGACCCTGAATATTAAATATCACAAACTTCATCCACACATTTTAGAATGGGAGGACTGGAGGATATTATTGTGGGAACCTCGGTACAATCTGAAATTTTCATGGAGAAAACTTCACACAAATCTTTCAAATAAAAATATAAAGATCTTATTAGTGAATTCTGCCACAAAGTTTCTCAATGCCTCAATGCCTCAAGTGTGGAGGTGGTTTTAGGCATGTTTATAAAATAAAGCATGCAAATACCCGAAAAAGAGCCACAAATGCTACATGAAGTGATGATGATTCTGATAAAAGTAGTTTATCAATTAGTATGTATGTAGTCAACAATTCTAAGGAATTCAAACAATGTTACAAGTAATTAAGGGCAATTAAGCAATATAACATTCAAATTAAAATATGCCTTGTCACCACTCTTACTAATTCAACTTTCTAAAGGAGAGGAAAAGATCAAAGAGACTTATGAGTGAAATAGTGCTTTGTCTGTCTAATGAACTTGAGAATCTTAAATCAAGAATTGAGCAGCTCAACAACATAAAGGGAAAGATATTCTTAAACACATCATCGACAAGGTTAATTAACAATGACAAGAATGTTGTTGTTGGGACTATATTTTGCCGACTAGTCAAGTATTTCAAAACCATATAGTTCATTCCAAATGGGAGAATCATCATGAGTGAGCTAGAGATGATTATCAAGCAAGATGATACCACTACAAGTTGACCTGGCAAAACACACCCATAATTGATTACGCAAATTGAAATGATCCGCAAATAAAGAAGTCACCCCAAATAAGACGAAAACATAGAGAAAATATCAAAATAGGAGTTCCATTTTTTATTTCCTATATATATATGCCCAAAACAGATCCAAGGCAAAATCCAACTGATTGACTTGATTATATTGTCACGTCTAAGTGGAAACATGGGGGACACATTAAAAGGCACTATTGGCTCAAAACAAACAATCTCTCACAGACAGTTAATTAAATAATCACAACACACTATATATGTTTTCAAGTCTTAATAATAAGAGGATGGTTTTAACGTGGGAGGGATATCATGCATCAAGAGTTGTGGCAAATGTTCAACATGGTGGTGATCGAATATCGATGACAAGAAAGGATCATATCAAGGCTTTGTGTGATATTGGATGCACCCGCCGAGACATATATATGAGTAGAAATCCGACCATTCACACTGGCGTGTTGTTGTGTCTGTCTTGTAGAGCAGAGGGAGCCATATGATAATTGCTAGTAGACAAACCATCGAAATAAGGTTTAGGGTTTGAAAGGGAAAAAATTCTTAACTAGCTATTGTTTTAGAAATATTTGCCCTAAATATCATTAAAATTCAAGTCATTTTTCTAAATAGCACATAAAGAGTTTTATTCTTTAAATAGTACTAAATAATGTCCATAATGTCCAATGATAGCGAAAATTTATTTGAATAATGACTGATGCATAATGACTAAAAGTACTAAATTGAGTAAAAAACACATGTGATGCTATTTAGGGACAGTCATTATGTTTTAGTGCTATTTAAGTTGTTTTATTACTTTCTGATGATTCTCATAAGAAATCTTTCACTATTTATGGATGATAGAGAAAACGTTCCCTTACAAAACATAAAACTTAGTCATGTCAGTTCAAAAAAAAACATCGAAGCAAAAGGAAATCCTCCTCGAACAAGTGTTATAGTTGTACTCAACATAATCTTTGAACCGAGGTGGCGGTCTCTTAGCCAGCTCAATCTCCTTCGCATTTCATATTCCCCTTACATATATGCTCCATCCTCTCGACCCGTATATATCCTCGAGAACACACACGTATCAAAGACTTCATAAAAGATTTGTTTCTTGTTATAGCTAAATAACTTCTTGATCGAGGAAAGGATTTGCAAGTTTTTAATGAGGGAGCTAAGAAGGAAGCAATACTCAAGAATAATAGGATACATGATAGAGTATATACAGAAGGATAATTATTGCTATTGTCTAATATCCCCCTTAAGTTGAACTCGTGTCTAGAATGGAAGCTTGGAATCAAGATTCTGGAACCGCGGAGAAGATAACGCTTTCGTGAGTAAGTCTGCTAGAAGTAGTGAAGAGACGATCTTCGTTGCGCGATGAGCAAACTTGAGAGTGCGTGTGCTTAATGTTTTGTCTGGTAGAGAGTGTTGGCGATTGAAACGAGTGCAAGATGTTTTTCTCTTTTTTTCTCTTTTTTTCCTCGTTTTGGGTCATTCTCTGCTTCTCTATCGTTTTTCATTTTCTCGAATTCTAGAAGAAATACAAAAATGCAGCTTTTGAGTATTTCAACCACACTCAAATATGGTGAAGACGATAATTATCAGATTTGGGATTGGGCAAATTTAAGGTAGGTTTGGATGTGGATGAAGAAGATGTGCTTTATTTTTTCCATTTGATTTTGGTGGATGGTATTACGGGCGAATTTTCTGGTATGGTGAAGAATATTGATCGGAGAAGAATAATGGGTCGGCGAGTGGCTAATGGCAGCGCCGCCGCCCCCCAAAAGAGAATGCAGAGGATGTTAGGCCATCAAGAGCGTTAGCTCCAATACCATGTTAAATAATGAAATATTTGTATTACTCAAGGAATAATGAAATACATGACAGAGTATATTTAGAAAGAAGTTCAATCTCAATTAAAACTAGAAATCAATAATAGAAGTTATTAAAATGCAAAGACTAAAATAATAGAGACAATTATCATATTACTATTGTCTAATAAATACGGAGTAGTAATTGTTCAATTAGATTATTTCACCAAAATATCCTAGCAAGCTAGTTATTAATGAGGGTAATTTCGTGTGAGATAGGGTTCATTTAGGTAGAAACGTTTTATGTATAATTCCACAAAGGCCCCAACTCTATGGAAACCAGATTAGAACTAAACATAATTGTTCATATACTTCATGTTTCACAATATATATGAGTTTTGTTTATTCACTAAATATAGTTTATTTTAAATTTACCTTAGTTAATTCAATTCACAACATGTCGTCAGGCGGTTGATGGATGGTATTCCACCGCGCGCCGCCGAGCCCCATCGTCGATGTTGGCACCCCACCACCACCTATCATATATGATGGAGACAGGAAGAGGGAGTAAGCTAAAGCGAGGACACAAGATCTTATTAGTATGTACTTATGAAATTAGGTACTATTAAAGATACTCTCATGATTATAATCATCGTGGACGTATCCCGGAGCATCATATACTCCTATTTAGAAAACATTAAAAGTACAACTAACGTATGTAGTACAATATATAGTGGTTCATCGAATCAAATCAGTGAATAGCTCCTCGATCAAATGAAACAGCAAATGAATTGATTGTCGTACTTTCAGTACGTGGAGATCGATGCCCATCCATAAAAAAATATAATGTTAGTTGTTTCGATCTTGAATTAGGTTTTGTTAAATGTAATTAATTAAGCAGCTTCATTAAGAATTAATTAAGATGATGGATCAGATCAATAGATAGATGTATTAATTTAAAAAAAAAAAAAGAAGAAGAATGAATGAAATATACATACAGAAACATACTTGGAGGAGGAGGAGGAAGAGGAGGAAAAGTACTGAAAGAGCTTTCCCTGTGGGGAGAAAACGATGAGAGCTATTTGAGCATCGCAGAGCACGGAGAGCTCAGCAGCCTTCTTGAACAGTCCCTTTCTCCGCTTCGAGAATGTCACTTGCCGCCTCGCCCCGTTCTCTATTCTCTTCATCTCCACCCTCCCAGCTCTCCCCATTTTATAGTTTCCCTCTCTATACAGATAATAATTAAATCTAATCTTTATTTCCAATTAGAGAATGGCTTGGAAACCCTAAAATTAAAGCCAGCCGACCAGATCGATCAGATTCAGATTCAGATAGATAGCTTTAGGGGAAGTAGTAGTAGTAAAAATAATAAGAATGTTATTAGGGTTGAAGAAATACAGGAGTACTTATTTGATGAAGAAGAACCAATAATATAATCATGTATGTATGTATGTATCTATGTATAATGTATGTATGTGTACCACCACTCAACTCACTTGCGAGCTGAGTTTGAGACCACAGAAACCAATTTTTAAAATATATATATATATATATATATATATATATATATATCATCATCGATCCGTATTTATTTCCATTTATGCTATGTAAATATAATATTCCCCATTCTCCATAAATGACGACCTAGCAAGCACGCAAACTTACTCCTTACAGTACTTATTAGTATTTACTACTGTGTAAATAATTCGGAATACTCCCGATAGTATATATATTTATCAAAAGGGAATGATGTCCGGTTTAAACCTCTTTTTTTTTTATTTCTCGTTTTGGCAAAATTTACTACTCCCATAGTGCACTAGTTATAGTATTTCGTACTCCCTCTCCTCCATAAATCTCTTTCTTTTTCAGACCTTTATGAAATTTAAGGAAAAAATAATAATTTTGTGCTAGCTAGCTCTCTCAAATACATATGATAAGTACTACCCCGTCCCATTATATTTGTCCAGTTTGACTTTTTCGAGTCAAACTGGACAAACTTTGAACTCCAACTACTCTCAATTTATATTTCATATTAGCATAATGAAATATAATTTTGAAAGTTCTCAATACGATAAATCCAATAAAGTCCTTTCTATAATAAAATACATTACGGTTTTATTTAATTGAATCTCAATGTTTGTCCAGTTTGACTCAAAAAAGTCAAACTGGATAAATACACTGTGACAGAGGTAGTATAATATTAGTCAATATGTATGTTGTGATAGGTCGGATAATACTTAGTACGAGTAAAAATGTATTCCGTACTTTAATAGAACCGAGAAAGAAATTACTCCCTCCGTCCCTAAATAAAGTTCCATTTTTGACTTTTTGAGGATTTAAGGGAGGGATATTTTGGTGTTGACTTTCCAAAAATACCCTTGATGTTATGTGTTAAAGTAAGATGTGATAGGTAGATTATTAGCAAAAAGGTATGATGTGATAGATAGGGTATGAAAAAGTAAGGGGTAAAAAGGGTTTTTTAAGGGAAAATAGAAGTTTATTTGGGGACAAAAAAACGAAAGAGGAACTTTATTTAGGAACGGAGAGAGTATAATAAAAAAAACTTTTAGGAACAGACGAAATAGTACACTAGTACTATGAGAAATTGTAAAACTTTGGAAATTAAATTTGGTACTTATAAATTATAATATAATGGTAGTATTAATTCTTGACAAACAAAAATATTTTACTTTTTCTTTCTCAAAAAGATCATTGCAATTTGAGTATTTTCCGTCAAGATATGTATTACACTTTGACAACAAATTGTGAAATAAAATATATTTAGTTGTAATATAAATTTAATAAAAATTGGATTTATTTTAAATTATAATTTTGACCTATCATATTGTTATAAAATTTAATTATTTATATTTATCTTTAATTTGTTGTAAAAGTGTTCGACAATTTGACCTAAAGAGTCAAATTGTATTTGAGGTTCTTTTTGGAACAAATTAGAAGGGAGTACATAAAATGATGGGAAAATACCAAAATAGGTGTAAAACATAGAGAAAGAGTCAAAATAAGAGTTTTACATCATCAAATAACTTACAATACCAATAATGTCAATATATAATGTCAAAAAATATTGTGAAGAGTGATATACAGTGTCACAGTATTATAGTGCAAACTTCTGTTTTGAAGATAAAAATATGAAACTCATATTTTAGAGATGCGAGTTATGCTTTAGTCCTCTTGGAGTTGAAAAACTATTGAAAATATCCATTTTGCCTTAATGAAAGTGATTGGATATCCTTCAAATTCTTCAAATCAGCTCCAAAATCCGAGATAAAAACCTCTAATATAGATCCCCGCTGTAGGCAAACCAAGAGTTCCAAAAATCTGAAGCAACCAGCTCAAAACCATGGAGTAATCGGCAAAAACAGATTTCGACCAGAGGAGAGGATGAAAAAGAAGGCCGATGAAGAAGAAGACTGCCGAAGACGGCCGATGAAGAAGAAGACTGCCGAAGACTGGCGACAGAAGAAGGAAGCCGGATCAAAGAAGGAAATTGAGTCCCTTTGGGATTCGGTTTAATATCTTTTCTGGTTTGCTCAGTTATTGTTATAGTAGGAATAAAATTATGGTAGGAATAAAAGTTTATTTAAATGCTTTACTCTCTTCCTATATAAAGGGGGTTAGACCTTTGTAAGCAGAAGCCAATTCAATATACAGAATATTTTCTCTTTTATCAATTTCTACATGGTATCGGAGCAAGTTTTGAATTCTTGAGACCTCAAACACGCTTCTTCTCATGTCGGTGGGCATACACAATTCAATGCCTACCTGCGGGATATTGTTTTTTTTATTTTCTTTGATTGTTCTCCCTCACTAAAGAATATCATGAACTCCTTCAACGAAAAACATTGCTGTCGAGGAATCCCGCCCAACCATCAATCTTGAAGAAGTTGTCCGAAAAGGGTTGTTTTACAGAGACAGACAACTCTTTCCTTAGCAGGCAATAAAAAAAGTCGGCGTTCAGGGTGTTCGAAAAGAATGGCGTTCCCCCTGTTTGTTCGAATACGGTGAAGGTTCGAAAAGAATGGCGTTCCTTTACTCGACTGATTATTCGGCGGATTTGAAAAGCTTGGTGTCTCCGTTGAAGAAAAAAACTGAAGTGTCTAGATGACACTTTGACAACGATGGCAGTGGCTTCCTCAAGCTTTGTTGCTTTGTTCAATCTTTTGATGTCCAAGCTGGACATGTTGAACTCCCATGCTCCAGCTTGAGGGGAGTGTTGGCGACAGAAGAAGGAAGCCGGATCAAAGAAGGAAATTGAGTCCCTTTGGAATTCGGTTTAGTATCTTTTCTAGTTTGCTCAGTTCTTGTTGTAGTAGGAATAGAATTATGGTAGGAATAAAAGTTTATTTAAATGCTTTACTCTCTTCCTATATAAAGGGGGTTAGATCTTTGTAAGCAGAAACCAATTCAATATACAGAATATTTTCTCTTTTATCAATTTCTACAGTATATGTGTGTAAAATTCATTTGTAAAATTGACGGTTTCAAACCTCTACCCACTCCGATCCGAACACACACCCAACATCCTTCAATTACACCACCAAGTTATTTTTGACTTTGAAGTCAATTTTGACTCTAAATTTAAAATTAACTTCGAAGGTGCAATTGAAGGGAGTAGATGGTGTGTTCGGGTCGGAGCGGAGTGGGGGATCGCAAGGTTTACCAAGGGGGTTAGGAGGGTTGAATCATCAATTTTACAAATGAAACATCGTAGTGGTTTTGGGTCATCCCATGACGTGGGGTTCCGATATCATGAAAATCCTTACATGTTAATTACGGTGGGTAGAGTGTAATAAATAAGGGAAATAAGGTTAGTGGTTGTATATACTTCAAATGTTTAAAAAAGATAATACGAAGATGTTTTCACGACAAAGAAAAAGATATTTCGGAAGAGTTTTCCCCAGACGAAAGGGAGTATCTCTTTCCAAAAAATGAGAACAAAACGAAGGGGTCCTACGATGCTCCGTTGACATTGCCTTGCTTAGTAATGTTATGAGATAACCTGGGGTTGCTATGTTACTCCGTTCATAAAAATGACGGTTCTTACCCTAACCCCCTTAATCCCAATCTCTGCCCCGACTTGAACCCACTCTCTCATCTCCTTCAATTGCACCTCCAAATTTATTTTACTTTGCAGTCAAAATTTTGCATGTAAAGTAAAATAAACTTGGGGAGTATAAATTGAAGGGTGGTGTGGGGTGACGTTTGAGTCGGGCAAGGTGGGGTTTACCGGGGCACTAAGTAGGATAAAAACAGTCAAATTTATATTCAAATTTACTGTAAAAACTCCAATTGAGACACATTTCATAGTATGACATGAGATTTAAAAATCACGAGAACTCCGATGAGAGAATGCAAAGGTCGGGGGCCGGGAACTGACCGAGTTATGCATGAACGAACTGCCTTGGCTAGGGCATGAGTAAATGCATCATGCAAACCCTGAACCAGGGTTGTCCCTGAATAATCAGGGAGACTGCATGACAATGAAAAATAGGCTTTTCTGTCATAATAAAATAAATTTATCAAATAATTAAATTTTTTAAACAATTTTCAGCATTTTAGAAATAAAAATAATGTTAAAAATGAGGACTTTTTTCTTTTCATTTTAGAGAGAAAAAAATAAAAATGTTTAATTTGAGATAGTAGAATATGTGTTGATTTTTTCAAGTCATTTTTTTATTTCAGTAATAAACAATTTTGAATTTTAAAGCATAATACTACATTTGTCCCTGAATATTTGTCCTGGTTTGACTTTTTTCAGTCAGCCGTTTTCAACCTTTGAGATATAATTAAATGAAATATATATTGTATTTTAATTAGATAAAATAATATTTTGAAAATATTTTATAAAATAAATCTAATAGAACTATTTTTGTATCAATATCTAATACTATTTTTATTTAATTTGGGTTAAAATTTACAAATTTGGACAAAGAAATTAAAAATCAAAAGTGGACTTATACACCGAGACGAAGGAATAACATGATTTTAAAAATAAATTTTTAAATAAATTGCACAAAGTAAAGAAAGAGTACGCAAAAGTGAAAAAGTAAAAAAAGAATGAACGGAAAATAGGTGACATTGCCCTATGATTTACAAAATGCGCACCAATTTTTACAAAAAAATTTAGACCCTTAAGTATATTTTAATAATGTGAAACTTGAGAGTTATTACCAGAAAATCTATAATGCCCAAAAGTAATCTTTGTCAATTACTTCCGCATTATTAAATTCAAGCGGTGCTCCCGAAGAGTGAAATTCAAACGCCGGAAATTCAGAGAGGGAGGGGCACACATGCAATCTTTTTAAACGTTGAGAATTTTAAAGGCAAATTTTGAAAAGAGGGAGGGGTACCCATTTCTCAAATCACGTGGACACCAGAGTTATTCATTCAATAAAATAAACATGTCACTATTTTTTATTTTTAATTTTTTTAATTTTTAAATATCTAAATCATAATTTTATTTTCTATACTATTTTATAAATGAAATAATTTTAAAATAAATGAGTTCTTAAATGTTGTTCGAAACATGACAAAAAATTTGAGACTGAAAGAGTATTTTTGTCCAAAATTCACTTAAAACTTAAAAGTTAAAAAGTTCGAGAAGATAATTAGGTTATTAATGCAATTAAATCACTATAACTTTTTTTTCAAAAAAAAATATTCATTTGGCTAGATGTAACGTTGAGTATGATGAAAAATGTGTTTGAGATCTTGTCCACAGTCCACAAGATATAACTCATGTTCTAATCCATCCATTAATAGTAAGGAAATTTACCTAAATAGGACTAAAACATAATGACTTTCTCAATATAGGACCATATGTTTTTATTTTCCAATATAAGACCTTGGTCATTATCTATTAGTCATTATTCAACTAAATGTCCAGCATTACTTAGATATTATTCTTCTCACTAGACATTATTAAGTCTTATTTAAGAAATAAAAACATTTAAGTCCTATATTAGAAAATGACTTATGTTTTAGTTCTATTATTAAAATGCAAATTTCATTTAATAATATGATGTTCACTTGAAAAGAACAACTTTATTGCCTTCCCTCAATCTCCTCACAGTATTTGCTGCAATTAGCTGAAAGTTCGAAATATGGCCTAAAGAGTAGAGACTGCAAGAATCTCGCTTGTGTTGGTTGTTAATTGATTTAAGATTAATTATTGGTTATAATCCAAAGTATTCCAGTATAGTTCAAAGGGTAACTCATCTCTCCCGCCAGGATTCTGTATACAGAATGATTTGGTTGTGCACACCAAGTGCTCGACACAATTCCTATAAAAGTAAATGCCGATAAAAAAAACTACTACTATAGCACTTCAACATTTCGCTGGTTGAGAGAAGTGTACCTCCACTTCTCCTTCTCCACGAAATCTGCATCAAGAAACCGAGCAATGAATGCCCAAAACCTGTAAGTGTCCTCGAAGTTAGCCAAGAAACTCAGGGCAATAGTCACCACCGATATCCCTTTGGCTCCTTTGTTGTCCCTGCTCTCCCCTTGTTTTTCGGTCTTCGTCTTCTCCAAAATTCTGTCCCTCTCTTCTTGGTACTTGTCTTGGAACCAAATGTTGTTCAGAACCCCTTGGCTGAGGGATATGTGGTGCCGATCAGCCAGCTTCTGTATGAAGGTGGGATCAAGTTTTTCTCCCTCCCAGTCGTACACATTGAATGCCAAAGCCGGTCCTCTGTCGAACTTGATTTTGGGGCCGTAAATTCTCACCAGGGGAAACCCGTCCAGCCTGTTCGGATGCTGCAGCTTCGTCAGCGCCGCCACCAGCCAATTGATGAGGTATTTTCTTCTCTTGTTCACCACCATCAATCCCAATGAGTCCACTTGATCCAAGCACTTGCATTCCACTTCTGCGGGCATTCAATTGATCATTTAAACTGTTAAAGTATATAACATTTTCTGAACTTACAAACACAAACTCAAGCTTTTGATTGAATTCTCAAAATAAATCCATTTACCCAATATGTTTTTTTCCTTCTTAGAGCAAGCAAACACCATACAAGTATAATTATATAGAATTATGAGATTTTAACTTCCCATCAAGTTCAACTTTGGTCTTTTGACTCAAGTTGTCATGTCCTGAACAGACTCAAATATCATGTAAAAAATTATGAGATCTCAATCCAAAACTAATAGGCAATCAACAAAGAATCATTCACATTCTTATATATTAGTCCTTTCTTAGCCTGGGTTTAGAATGTGAGGCAATATACTCTAGAGGTTCAAGTACATATTAGAGCTAGGAATGAGTTCAATCAAAAGTTTTGATTAAGCTAATGGTTATAGAATAAATTTTATAGCGCGGCAGTTATTTTTTCCTTTTTGTTACCTGGTGAATGGAATTGCGGGGTTTGTGGCACAAGGGACACAATGCAAGCTGTTTTTGATTCTTCGAGAATGGAGACAACGGAGTTCTTGACAATCAAACAGCCGAACCCGGTGGGATTATCCCCGAAAACCTTGTAAAAGGAAGAGACGAGGAAATCGGGCTTGAAAAGAGAGAGACCGAAGCTGTCCATGTCCTTGGGTCCTAAAGCACATGCATCAAGCAAGACATGCCACCCGTTTTCCTGCGCCAGATTCATCCACTGGTACGAGTAGCTTCCCCCCGTCACTCTCGACTGGAGAGGGAACACGAACAGCCCCTTCTCTCCCTTCTTCTTCTTCTTCTTCCCCAAAATTGCTTTCTTCAGGTTCTCCGCGTGGACTCTGAGCCGAGGCCACTTGAACTCCGCGGACGACACCTGGGCTCTCCTCTTCTCCGCCGCATTCACCATTGTGTCCAGCGCCTCGCTCCCGTGGTCGTACACCGTCAGCAGCTTCCGGTTCGTCTGGAAAGGGTAAGACTCCGCCACCAGTTTGAAAGCCGAGGACTTGTTCGCGGTCAGAACTAGGGAGTAATCCCTCTCGGAGACGTTGAGGAAATCCATGATTCTGCTCTTGATCCCGCGCTCCAGCGGTGATTCATCCCCGCCGTTCAACAAATGGGACTTCAAGTTCACGGAGTTGAATGTTATATCAAAGAAAGTGGTGGGAAAATCGAGGGACCCGTGTTGCTTCGGAGAAGAAGAAGAAGATGGGGAGGAAACGGGGAATTGGGGGAATGCCTGGACCTGCTGGGCGTAGGAAAAGAGGCCGATCCCGATGTAATCGAGACAGACGTGTTTGGAGAGGGTGAGGTTGTAGTACTCTTGAGCTCTGATGTTGTCGATCTGTTTGGTCTGGGAGTAGAGAGGGTAAGCTGTGATGAACTGAGCGAAGGACTCTTGGATGGACGGAAGAGATTCGAAGTCGGTGAAGTGGGCATTGGGGAAGAGGGAGGACGCAGTCGTGTCCGTGAAATCGTGTCGGTAAGCAGATGACGTGTTTCTCGGCTGCTTCGACCCGCTGTTGTCTTTGCGGGTCCCGCCGTTCAGCGGCTCCAGCTGAGACCTATGGAGGGGGTTGGGGCAGAGGGCGTGAAAGCACGAAAGCTCAGCTGCGTTGTCGCCGTCGTCGTCCTCGTCTCTAGCCATATTGGCGGCAGCGGCGGCACTAGGCATTGTGTGTTGCGTGGTACGGTGGTGGTGGAGTGGGATGAGTACGTGGCTGAGAGCTGAGTGAGAAAGAGGTGTGAGGTTTGATCAGTTTCATTAATGGAGAAGATCTGAACGAAATGTGAATGAATGCTTAGTGGCTAAGAAAGAGAGTAAAGTTGTAGCCATCCATATCTAGCTAGTTTAAAGGAAAAAAAGATGGGGGAATCTCATTTTTCACACCACTTTTAAAGTCAAAAGAAAACACAAACAATAATTATTTGTCTTTGTTATAATTATTTGTGTTTGTTTTAGACGTCAAAAGTGAGTTCCCCATAAGGTTGATGAAGAATATAGTGTATGTACTCTACTAGTCTACTCTCCTCCGCGTAAGAAAAAAGGTTTGTGGAGGATGATGATTATGTTGGGCCACTTTCCTAGTTTTTGGTATGTCGGGTTTTGGTAAAGTATTGGCCTTGGTGTGTTGTGTCATGTGTGGGAAAAGTAGAAAAGTTTCCCACCTCTTTGAGTGAGTGCGGTGTTGACTGACTGGCTCAATTAATCGCCGATAATCAAGGGGTAGAAAAGTAATTATGTTCGAGTAACTTTATTTGTTGTAGTTTAGTTTGTTTTTTCCCAAGTAATTGTGCAACCAAATATGAGGTCTTAAGAGTGGGTCGGGGTTAATCGTTAAGACTATAACTATGCATTTTAAGATTAACAGAAGTGTAAACAAAAAAATGTTTTTTCTATGTTAAAGCGCTTTATTTAATTACAAGTCCCAGCTAGCTGTGTTTAATAATTATGTCATTAATTCTTTTACATCTAAAAGCGTTCCTTAATTCTTTTTTAAAGTGTTTATTCTCCCTACACATAATTTGCCTCTTTCTTCTACCGACTTGCAAATAAAACACAGTACTACTAAAAGCAACAACAGTTTGATCAAAAAAAAAAAAGCAACAACAGTGATATTAATAGTAATAATAAAATTAATTGAGGTGTTATGTGTGTTTCTCACATCTAGCGTTGTTAATATAAAAAACATCTGCCATATTGAATGAAATTAGTGGTAGCTTTTATTAAGTAATTTATGAAGGATTTTGTAATATATTTTAACATAAATTTTACAAAATAAAAATCTATATTTTTTTTCATCAGTCCCATTATAAATTCTACTCCGTTTATTTTTCCACATTTTTTGGGAAATTTATATGCGACTACCCTCTAATTTTTTTAAAATATATTTTCAAGATAAATTTAATTTTTACAATACAATTATATTTTTAATCAAACGTCTTTTACTTTTTACGGAGTACGGAGTAATATTTTTTAAACTTTTTAATGTAAAGCTTGAAGCAGGTTGATTTTAGAATAGAGAGAATATTGTCGTTATCACGACTCACGAGACGAACCAACAACGATACTTACACGAATCTAGTAGTATAATACTATAATTTTTATAATCCTTACTAGTATATCTAACTCATCTAAGAATGATTGTCCATATATAATGCCAATAATGTATACACATACATGAGATCAGATGAAATATGTGATTCAAATACAAAATCTGAAGTTCCATATTAATTAACAATCCTGTTTAACTTTGGGTGTGGGGAATTTGCTCTTTGCTCCAAGATTCTCCTTCCCATATACCTGCATCATTGAACATTTTAAAAATGAACAAAAACCTTAAGGATGCGTTTGTTACGCGGAATTGACGTAATTGGAATTGGAATTGCAGTTCCTTTTTTGCACTACTAAGTCCAAATCTACATATTTTTGTGCTACCAAACCGCAGAATTGGAATTGCAGTTCCTAATTCTAATTCCATGGCTTGAATTCTGTGTACCAAGCGAAACCCAATTCACCTTTTGATCAATAAAGTTTTCATATCATGTCAAAAGACTAACTCAAGCAAAAGCTCAAGCTAGTACGTAATTGTGGGTCTGATCATTCTAACATTATAAACTCTGTATATAATACGTACCTTCCGAGCATCATAACGGTGGCTTGAGGATTGGTTCCGGGGGAGTTGATAAAGGTGGAGCCATCAACAACGCGCAAAGCCTTGACACCGATGACCCTATAATCTTTGTCCACGACCTTACGGACCTGGCACCCACCGTGGTAGTGCCAAATGGTCATGACGGTGTCAATGCAGAACTGCTCCAGCGACACCGCGGCGGAGACGTGTTTGGGCCTGAGGTTCAGCGGCAGCGTGAGCATGGCGGCGATGAGAGACTGGGACGACGTGAGAGGGTACCGGAACCTGGAGAAGGATCTTGACTGAATTACCCTTGAGATGATCTCCAGACCTTCCACGCACCTCTGCAAGTCGCGTGGGTCTTTGAAGTAGTTGAAGGTGACCCTCGGGTTGTCGGACGGGTCCCTGCTTTGGAGCTCCATGTACCCCGTCGAAAATGGGCCCGCCACCTTCTCCAGGATTATCCCTGCCTGCACGCTCGCCTCTATGTATGGGTTCGCGACATTCATCTTTCCTCCCTCAGTTGTTGTGTTTGTTATTAAGGTAATGTTTGTCGTCGTAGTCGTTGTCCACGTCGGCATCTTCATTGCCTTGCTGCTCTGGATGAGATCAGATCATATATATCCCAGAAGCAATTAATCAAACTTTATTAGGAAATGGTAAAAACTCAAAAACAGTTTTCAAACCCCAACAGAAAACACCTCTAGAGAGAGTTAGGGAGGAAGCTGATTAAGTTATGTATAGGAAGGGCTAACCAGATTTGCAAGCCTTTCAAAGTCAGCAGCCATTCTGTGCATCCAAGCCAACTCAAGGGACCCACTGGCGGCTTCTATATAGCTGTCAAAATGTGTGATACCCACCACCTGAATCAGCGAAACCTCAACGGGCCGAGGCGAAGGAATCAGCACCGCGTTCATCGGGTTATCCGACATCCCCTGCCCCACCATGGGCTGGTTCAGTATCACCTCTATGTTATGGGCTTTCAGTTGCTGGGCCGATCCGATTCCGCTCAGCATCAACATCTGTGGGCTTCCCACCGCCCCCGCTGACAGGATTACCTCATTCTCCGCCCCGCTGTTTAGGTAGGCCAGGTGGCGGCTGCCGCTCGAGTCCCTGTAGAACACCGCGTATGCTCGAGGATCTCCTGCATGCGTTTACACAATTTTTATTCTCACAAATAGTTTCTAGTTTCTACCCACCTTAATTTTTTAAAACTGCGAGTTTCGAATTCGTGACCTCTTAGTTAACTAGACTCCAATGCCAAGTCAAAGAACCAATTCAACCAAAAATCCAAGCTCGTGGTTGTAGCCTAGAAATGATTTTTTATATTCTAACAAAACTCACCTTGTTCTTCTTTCCTGAAAAAGATTTTATGGACGGTAGCATACAAATAGACAGTGATCTTGGCGGGATCAGCATACTCCAACAAGTCAGCCGCCGTGTGCCGATACCCATTCTCGTCGAATATCGTACCCCCGACCTTAGTACCGTAGAGATGTTCGTATGTAAACCCGTGGTACGGCAACACCCCAGCTTCTAGAAGCCCGTCTCTCACGGCCGACTGCCACGCAAGCATCGGCGGCTGAAACGCCACCTTCCTCTCCACCCACTCGTACGACTCGTTGACCAGCGCCTGGTCCCACCCGGCGCTCTCGACGTACCCCGCGCTCGCCCTCGTGTAGAACCCCGCGTTCAAGGCGGAGCCCCCACCCAGGACGCGCGCTCGGTGGTTGAAAACGCCGTCGGTGGAGACGAATAGCTGGGAGGCCGAGTCCGGCGACGTGTCGGCGAGGGTTCTGGCGAACCCGTTTAGGGTGGTTATGTTGGGGTTTCCGTACGGCAGGCCGCCTCTCTCTAGCAGCAACACCTTTGCCCCCTCCGACAGGGTCGCGGCCAATGCACACCCTGCCGTTCCGCCGCCGATGACGATGTAGTCGAAGTATTCTGTCGTCGGAGCTGACGTTGCATTCTTGGCAAACGACGCAAACGGTGCTGCCACCACCAATTAAAAAACGTTTTGTTTTCAGAACTAGAAGAAACCTTTTTGTTAATTAGGAGAAACATTTTTTGAATAAAAGTATGCCTTTTCAATTTTATTACTATGTACAGATCATCAAATATAGATCTGATCTGGTGTTGAATTTATTTATATTTGTTGCTTTGAAAATAAATTAAGGCAACAAATTAAATTTGTTTGAGACACATTTTTTACTCATAAAATTACCCCGTATTAAATTTGAAACAAATTAATGCATGTCTTTTTGTTCAAATTGGACTTTTGTGGTGAAGAAGTTAGGTGAAAAAAATATGAGTACTCTTTCATTGAACAAATGATGCATATACAGCACTCCGGCCGATCCCTGTGTTCAGAAAATATGTGTCCGTTTTTGTTTAGCATAGTTTTAATAAAGTAAAACTTATGCAATTTATATGTTGTTAAAATTTTATTCTAAGAATCATGAGAAAAACACTATATATATATATATATATATATATATATATATATATATATATATATATATAAGTGATAAGTCACATAAAACTGTTAAAATTAAATAAACAAAGACGTCTTTTAGAAGCGCAAAAAATAGTAAATAATCAAGCCTTTTTTCGGGCATATAGGAGAGTACTACGAGTATAATTTTGTGAAGAACATTTTAGATGGGTAAGTAATTTTTTTTATACTTCGTAAAAGAAATAAGTTATTTTTACAGAACACATTATTCTCCACGAAATTTATTTATTTTTAATTTGCTACAGATATCAAAATAAATGGAGGTGCATGTATGGGAGGAGAATGGGATTGAATTTTGGTACGTACCTTGCTCGGAGTAACAAGAAGAAATGAAGAAGAGAAATGCAAAGAGAGATGAACGAATCATGTTAATATGTATTTATACTGGGTAATTATATATATACTCGTATATTGTAATTGTATAATATTGAAAAATTGATCAAGAAAACAAAGGTTGTAATTCTAAGACTTTGTGTTGTTTTTATGCACGGATGGAAAATTTTCGTGAATGAAAGAATTTTGTTAGATTATATTATTATTATTATTATTATTATTATTATTATTCTACTAAGTGGTAACTAAACCAAACCTAGCCACCTTTTTATACAAAACAATATAAAAAGAGAGTCAATTAAAGAGTGGATCGAACAATATAGGTGGCTAGTTAGGCACACCATGAATTAAATAATATCCCCTTTACACTATTTTATTCGGTGTACCCATTTTGACGAGATACGAAGATTAAAAAAGTTAAAAAAAATTATAATGATGGCTTATATAGAAAAAAGAAAAAGAATGTTGGCTGTAACACGTTCACGATAAATAAAAGTATACTAAGTACATAATAAATTCGAACAAAAAAAAGAAACAAATTCAAGATATTATATTGAGGTAAATACCAATAAAGATTGGGGGTTGAGAATCCAAACCTTATAGGTAAACAAGTATATTTTATTTTTAATTTTTAAATTATTTAATACAAGAAAAAAACAAGAATATTAATTAAGGTCTCATGAAAAGATGGATGCTAAAAAAATGATAAAAAATAAAGGTTGAAATAATGGTATATGGTTGGGCATGCAGAAACGGTCACTCTTTACTTGGCTCTTCGCCGCAATAACTCTGTTTCTAATTAACTCCCACCTGTCTCGTAACGTACAATGCTGACCATACTTTCCAATTCTCATTCATGCTTTTACTTTTACATCAAAAAATTACTGTGGCACCGGTTTTACAGTGTGGGTTTAAACTTTGTTCATGTTATAATATATGTATTCAAACCCAGTTTGTGTATTAAGTTAAGAGGAAGGGTAAAAAAGGAAATACTGCAGCAGAGCACACTATATTATTAGTACTATAAACACACTCAAAGGCATATATGTGTTGCATTTAGATCCAAACTTTGTCCAATTCACAAGACAGCAAAAAACAGAAAGACATGCACACAATCCATCCTTGAAAACAAGCTAGTAAGGAGGCTTTTGTTGTAATTCCATACATGTGGACGTGGGCATCATTACAAGTATTTGAACAGCAAATATATGACGATGACGAGAGCCACAACTCCGATGACAGAGAAAAGCATGCACATGCACGAGCAGCCGCCCTTCGTGCGCTTGCTCAATACTGCAAGCCTCTTTTGTACTCGCTGTCATTTGTTGAGGAACCCCCCCCCCCCCCCCAAAAAAAATCATTAAAAAACATTCGAAAAATCTATACACGGGATTTACTGTGAAATTGAAGTACATATCACAACGAGAATCCAGAAAAAACCTTTACAAACTTGTATATTTGATATAGGTTATAGCTATCATACTTCGTCATATTGATATAAAAGCAGTTCGACTATATAGTGCATTGTTAGGAAACTTAGAATGAGGGATCAGAAATTATTAAGCAGTGGGAATTGGGCAAATAAAATCATACTACTAAATTTTGAGCTAAAGATATAGGGAAAGAGCCATGCAACTTAAATTTCAAAAATGAAAACAAAGACAAAAAAATTTCATGAAGATCCTATTGCATTAATTCATTCCTACTGCATTATGAAGAGCTGAACAAATACACAAAGGATAAAAAATGCTTTTTATTGGAGTAAAAGAAAAATGATTCCATGAGAATTATGAAACACGAATGTCACCTGTAGGCGGGAGTCTGTAATATCAACATGTTCGTCAAGATTATCCTGCATTGAGTGAGACACAGAATCATGGATTAAACTCATCACAGGATGCTACATTTTTTTATGAGTTTGCAAAGATAGCTTAGAGACAACCAACCCAGATGTCAACAATTGTGAATAGATGGTAAGGAAGACACGTACGATGAGTCTTGTTTGCAAGCTAAGTTCTTCATTGACAGCTAGTGCAATATGCTTGGTGCTTATTACTGTCTCCTCCAACTTCTCCAGGCCTTCATCTTGTTCTGTATACAAGAAACACCCAGACACTTAAACATATGCCACAAGTTTGGTCAAATTTGTCTTTTATTATGAAGAAAAATTTACAACTTGCCTTTCATTATTTGTCGCTGAAGACCAACAATACCAGAATTGTCGAGACCATTTGTTCTACTCATCGCATCCACAGGCTTTTGTTCTGGTCCAAGTAAGCTGTCTCTATTCGCAAAATGGGACATGTTCAAAGTGGATGCCATCTGATCTGCTTTTGTTTTTAAGTTCGCAAGCATGTCCTGGCGGCGTTTCTTCTCTTTATCACTCCTGCAATAGGAAACTATATAGTCAGTCCATGTGATCAAATGTGATAACCAAACTGCTTCTAATCTACTTCTACCAACAAAATAGAAATCAAACATGATGTGTCATTTGTAAGCTTGCATAGGATTTAACAAAGTTCTCAAATAAGGCATGGTCTACATAATCCTATCCGTGACCCTAAGCTGCTTAAGGTACGATATTACTCGCACACAAAGACGTTTTGAAAAACACAGCTCCCTCAAAAAATAAAATGAAGAAACATCTATAAGCGTTAAAGCTATTATGAATAGGAACTTAGCTAATGAAACAAGCCTGACAACACATGCCAATTCCTAGTACGGAGATCGGGAAAGCCATAAATAACTGCATTGACAATATTCACATGCTGCAGCTAAACAAAATTGCAACTGTGAAGACTTACAAATGCTGCTTTGCAGATGGTTTGGACAAAAGAGGCCCTAAGCTATCAAGTTTAGTTCCTAATATAGTAATTTTCCTCCTTATAGCAGACGAATGACGCTGAGCCTCTGCCCCAGTTGCAGGCAACGAACTTCGTTCAGATATCATTTTAGTTATATCTTCCGCAAGCTTTGCTGCATCAGTATATTCCTTGACCCAGACATCTCCCGTTTGTGCCATTGCCTTATATCAATAAATGAAAAAATCAGTCAAAACAAATCCATCTGCAGAGATGCCCCTTAACCATACAATAGCATTAAGAAAACTAAAGAGCAGTTAAAACTAAAATGAACTCTTTAGCTTTGCCATGTGGACCTTCGGCTAGTCCTAACATAAACCACCACTCTATGTGATGGGGGCTGATAAATGTCTCAAGAATAATAAACAGTAGTGAGGCTAGGAAGTAGATAGACAACATTTAATGGATTCCCTCGGGGAAAAGCACAAAAATGGCGACTTTGATCCCCAAATTGTTTGAATTTAGTGAAAGCAGGAACACTTTATAGTAAAATGCCATACTAATGTTGGCAATGCAGAAATCAGAAGATTACAGTGTCTGAATTAAGTTGAGGGTACGATTGTTTCAGGAATAAGATGGATAATACAACATAAAATCATCATAAATAATGACAAGAAATTCAACTGAAATTATGGCATGGCATCAGCTAAAGATTAACATATGAGAAAAGTGCTTTTTCATGCGTGTAATTCCAAAAGAAAAAAAATCAAATATACTAAAACAGCAGAGATTATTTAACCATCTTTATAACCGCACCATTCAGATCCCCCAACACTGCATAGATTCAATGCCTAAGGAATAACCAAACTTGAGCCACCGAGTCAAAGAACCAGAAAAGCATCCAGATTTATGCAATCGAACACCAAATAACAGATACCCAGAATTCAACATCAAAGAAAGAAGAATAATAACCCCGAATTGGTCAATCCAATTCCAATCATGATAGGAATATAATCGTACCTTTGATAATAAGAATTGGAGGCGGAATCGATTTCAATAAGAAAGGGGCAACAGTAGTTTGAGGTGGATTGACTTTTGGATTTCGAGCGGAAATCGGGGAGCGGCGCCACCACTTACCGGCAAGGTTTGTCTGGCGTCGACGTCGTCTTAGGTAAGCGGATTGAGAACCGGGTTCAAGAACGGTACAGCGGCAGAACCGGGGTGTGGTTTGCCGTATTCTCCCGTATGCGTGTGTGCGTGCTTTACAGCATATGTCTTCTTTCTTTCTATCCCTTTTTATTTGTCCTTTTTTTAATGTATAAATAAATAAATACTCTATTTGTCGACTCGTATTAGGTTTTACATTATTGTGCTGATTTTGATTGGCTGTTCTTTAAATATGTCGTTTTTTATTACTCCGTAAATAATAAAATGTGTGGTTTACTTTTTTTTCTATTCCAAAAAATAACAAAGACATTTTTTAATCTAAAATTGCAATTGCCCTAGGCACGAAAATGAATATGGAAGTTTAAATTACAAGTATCATATTTAATACTTTTCCGTCCTTGAGTATTATTTTTATCCATTTTTTACTTTTTTTCGATTCAATTAGTTTACAAAAAAACGTACTCCGTATTTTTTATTAATCACCCTATTCTTCTAAATATCTGCAATGCCTCCAAAATCACTTTATATGTTATTCGGTTCAATTAGTTTTACACAAAAAAAGTACTTGTACATACTATTTCTAAAGTACGAATATACTCTGTATTTCATAACTTTGATCACACTTCTTTTATTTTGACATCTTAAAACAAAAGTCGCGTTTTCGTTATTCATAACTCAAAGTCCTTCCAATGAGGTTATTCCCCATTTTTTATTATTTTCTTGTAGGCCCTACTTCCACATCATTTTTTTACCGGAGTAACTTTTTTATAATTAAAGTAATTTTTTAACTTCAACCCAAAAAAATTCAAGTATTTTAATTGAAACGTGGCTACATTGTTGTTTTTTATTTTATTCAAACTAGTAATTATCTTAGATTTTTATCTTACTTTTTAAACAAAAAATATATTAAAAAAAGTAAGACTAAAATTAAAATATTTTAATGAACAAGTAAATAATAATTATCAAGTATTAATTATTAAAAATCAATAAAATTGAAATATTAAAAATATTTTAAAAATTTAAAAATGAACATGTTGAAAATAAAATAATTTTAAAGGTGATAGGATTGCGTACATTGTTCAGAGAGTGACAGCATTATTAGACGGAGAGAGTACATAATTATATAAATAACTTAGAGAAGTTCTTAAGTAGTCCTAAATTTTATGTTCACTTTATGCACTTTAATACTATGTGCAAATAAAATAAAAAATTCACCAATCATTCTATTAAAAAATTCACTAATCATTCTATAATCATTCTATTAAATTAAAAAATAAATTTAATCAAACTAATTTTATGGGAGGGGGGAAGTTTACTTGGTATAGACTATAGACTATAGACTAAGGACTTTGTATTGGGGTCCAATCATGATAGAGCAAAATACTTGAAAAGACGCCGCCAATACAGACAGGTAAGAAAGAAGAAGACTAGAACAACAGCAACAAAACAAGATTTTGACGAGCGAAAGAAGCGGAGAGAGACCCAGCAGCAAGAAGCCCCACAAAAGTGGGTTTGGCGTCTCGCTGTTTCGGACTCTCACCGGACCTTTTCTCCTTCTCTCAGCCGTCTCTCTCCTTCCACTGTCAAAGGTTAGCCGTTAGCTTTATCTGGAGCATTTCCTTTTTTCAAATTCTCTGAGTGTGCTTTTGCTTTGCTATAAAGTTCATCTTTTTTGTGCTCCTCTGATCGAACTTTGGATCTTGTTTTGGTTTTTTTCTGCTTAACATTGATGGGCTGTCATCAGTTTTGTTTTGATTTGGTTTGTCGGGTTTGAGGTGATTGTGTTATGTACTCTGGAACAGTGATTAGGGTTGTGAATTGGTAGAACATTCAAATTCGTTGTGCCTCCCTGATCTTGATTTTAGTTTATCAACTGTGTTTGCCAGATCCGGCTGATTCTGACTGGGTCACTGGGGTGAAGGAGATGAGCTCTGTTTGGCTTGTTAGTTTTGTTTTTTCATTCCGAAGAACAGTGAATCTCATATCTTGATTCTTGAGTGGTGTATTCTGGTTCGTTGGGACTCCGTTATTCGCATGGCTGTTGCCAAGAGCATCAATATTACTGATTCATCTTCATCGTCATATTGTCCAAGCAATTGCTATAAAGTTGCGAATTTGGATGAAACCATATTGGGCACCAACCAGACTGCTGACCTGAAAGACCGGTATGTTCTTGGAGGCCAATTGGGCTGGGGACAGTTTGGCGTAATCAGACTCTGTTCTGACAAATTCACTGGGGAGGTGTTGGCCTGCAAGTCAATAGCAAAGAGCAGATTGGTCTCCGAGGAAGATGTGCGGAGTATTAAGCTTGAGATTGAGATAATGTCCAGGGTTTATGGGCATCCAAATGTTGTGGATCTTAAGGCCGTGTACGAGGAAGAAGATTATGTGCATATAGTAATGGAGTTGTGTGCTGGAGGAGAGCTTTTTCACCAGTTAGAGAAGCATGGGAGATTTTCCGAGGGAGAGGCTAGAGTTGTCTTTCGCCACCTGATGCAAGCTGTGATGTATTGCCATGAAAAAGGCATTGTCCATAGAGATTTGAAGCCAGAAAACATTCTCTTAGCTACGAGAGCCTCTTCATCTCCCATTAAATTAGCTGATTTTGGTCTTGCAACATTTATAAAACCAGGTATGTTTTTGAGTCTCTCTTTCTCTATAACAACCCTAAGGCTATGTTTGCTCCCTGAACATACAAGGGAGTGGAGGGAAAATGCTACGGAAAGTGAGTTTCTTTTGTTTTGTTTATCACAGAAAATGCAAAGGATAGAGGTCTTGCTTGTTTCCTTTTATGTCTTAGTGTGTAGCTTGTGAATGTGGTATTTGTGTCTGAGTTTGTAGTTTATGTATGTGTGCCGCTTTTGTCTGTACCCAGACTTTTGTTTATGCTTATTTTGTTTTCGTTTTGCTCCTGTGTTTTGAATCGGTGGTGTCTTAGAAACAGTCTCTACTATCTAAGTAGAGGTAAAATTTGACTGCACGCACATGAGACCCCACTTTGTGGGATTTTACTGGCTTTGTTGTTATTGGAAAATGCAAAGGATAACGAGATGTGATTTCATTATAGTTTAAATATATAGTAGACACAAGTAAATAGAATGAGTAAAAAAATACATGTTCGCTTTAGCCTAATTTTATTTTCATTTATTTCATAGATAATGATTTTTTTAATTTACATTTATACTATCAACAAATGTCTTTTTATTCAATTTTAGCCATTTATAAAAGGAATACCACTAACATTTTTTCCTCCCCAATTTTCTTGTAAGCTATCTTTCAGGTTCCAAACAGACCCTAAGGCCTAATGCTATGCTTGGAACAATGAAAATGGCAAGGAAACAAGAAAAGAATATTTAAAAAAAGAACAGTAGTTGAATGTTTTATTTGACCTTGAAAAGTACAAAAATAAGAACAAATTTCATTACAACATGAAATTTTACATTTATTTAGGTTTCTTAGTCCCTATATAAAAGGAGCGTCCGAATATATGAGTAAAATAGATTCAAACACATCTAAAATTGCTCAAGGTCCCTTTATCAACAAGTTTGTTCTCCTTCTGAATTTGCCTTCATCGTCCTATATTTTCTTTCCGTAGCATTTCTCAGATTCCCAAGGGACCCTAAGGAATCTCTGCTTAAGAAAATGTGATTGAACGCCTCTTCTTATTCATGCAGGAGAGAGTTTGCGTGGCACTGTTGGAAGTCCGTTTTATATAGCCCCTGAGGTGTTGAAGGGAGGTTATAACGAAGCAGCTGATATATGGAGTGCTGGTGTTATTCTGTACATTCTCCTTAGTGCGATGCCACCATTCTGGGGGAAGACTAAGTCTAAAATATTTGATGCTGTTAGGGCAGCTGATCTGCAGTTTCCTTGTGATCCCTGGGATTCTATTTCTTGTTCAGCAAAAGAGTTGATAAAGGGGATGCTTTGCACTGATCCTTGCCACAGGCTTACAGCTCAGCAGATTCTAGGTAATGAACTAAGGTTGTGTTTGTTATGATTAGAGTAGCTAGGTGATGAATAGCTCAGCCTTAGTTTGTAGTTCCTCGCGGTGCATTTCTATGCCTCAGTCTGTAATGCGTGCATGTGTTTTTTTGTGCTTTGTGCATTATGTCCGTACTTCTGTATGGGAGCTGGGTGTCCCTTGGAAACAACCTCTCTACTTCATAGTAAGGGTAAGATTTGCGTACACACACCCTCCCCGAACCCTTTTTTGTGGGATCATATCGGGTTTGTTGTCTCTTCAACCATTTTGAACATGTATATTATACTCTGGGGTACTTCTTTTATAACTAAACTCGTTGAGAATTTTCTGTCTTCTTTTTTTGGGTAATATTTCACGATTAAAGTTGCTACTGAAGTTCTATTACCAATCAAACAATAGTTTAGCTTTTTCATGTATTCAATCCTTTTTTACACCTTGCCATTTTCACTAATTTAGGTCATTGTTGGGTAAGTGACGAGTTGGGACTTCACCAAGAGCCATCTGAACAGGGTAGAAGTATTAAGGCATGTTCCGTTGATAAAGGCTTATTATCTTCCCCATTTATGGGTAGAGATGAAGACATAAGCTTTGGGACAGGGACAACTATTGCATGTGATGCCCAATCATCATTTTCTTCATTCTTGCCTGCACCACCGTTAACTCCCTACTTTGAGCCAGGTGGCGGGTTTTCTTTTCAAAGCACCTCAGAATTTTCAACTCCCCTTTCCTCAATGCCAAGCTTTGCATTCTCCAGTCCAACCCCTGATGTTGATCGAGGTGGCTGCTCTAAGTTTGATTTCTTGGCAAACCCATACAAGCAACAACATGCACTTCATAAAGGTATAGTAATGTTATTAAAAAATGGTTTTTGAGTAAGCTTCCTAGATGGAGTAAGTGCTTTTTTCCCTCATTGTCTCTCTTCCTGAAATTTAATTGTTTTTTCGTGTGCAGAGGCCGGTGGCTCAGGGAAGGTGTTTGTGATGGAGGACACAACCCTACACTATGAGGGGCAGGTGGCTGGTGAGGGTAAAAAGGGCAGCGGATCAAGAATGCCTGGGATACACAACAGCAGCAGGAGGAACCATACAATAGGTCTTGGTGAAATTGACTTTATGGTGACTGAATCAGTCATCCGTTGGGCATCGTGCACTTGTCTTTCAACAGCCACCTCCCTTAGGTCTTCCCTCGTCTGTTGAGTGCTTTGGACTAGCACCTCTTGTACCGGAAGATCATAAGAAGAACTAGTCATCTGGTAGTTTGTATGTTCACATTTGTGTGTTTGTTTTTTTGACACAGCGTGCTTAGGTTTCTAAGGTTAAGTGGTTTACATGATAATTACTTACATTGTACGACGAAAGTGCAACTTAAATGTTGGTTTCCAACCCAATACTCACAGTGTTGTTGTAGGTTGTCAGTAGTGAGCCAACTGTTTTTTATAGAGAGAAATGAAACTCCATACAAAGTATTGCAGATCATCTGCTGTGTGAATAAAGTTCAGTTTGTTTCTTAGTTATGTTGGTTTTGCATGTTGTGTACATTTTTTCTATTACGGAGTACAATAGAAGGCAAGAATGATGAATTGATGTGTGTATGGGGAATATCAGGATGATTGGTTTCATATCGAGTACATAGTAAGAGTGTATTGGTTTCTTTTGTTACATTCAGGATGATCCTATATATAAGCAAATCACTCAAAAGCAAGTCTCTGAGAGCCAACAAGAGAAGCATATTGACCCTTCCTACCCAGCAATTCAAAATGTGTCCCCAGCTCTGCAATCTTTCCATCGGAACAGAGAGCGATTCGTTCTGCATTCTGAACAGTGCTCAGCCTGTGCGCAATCACTAATGTTGTCCTTCCCTTCATCAAATGGTTCAATGCATCCTGTACTAGACGCTCGCTCACAGTGTCCAGAGCACTGGTTGCCTGCAATGAAGTCATGACTTACTTTTAATCTACTCTGTAATACCCCTCCGTCCAATATATTTCTTCTCGTTTTGACTCGGAGAAAGATATAGAACGGCCCAAAAAACAAGAGGATATAGGAAGAAGGGAGTAAATAGGAATGTGCAAAGGAGTAGATCTGGTTAAGTGCATACTTCATCAAGAATGAGAATGGGGGCATTCTTTAGCAGAGCTCTAGCAATGGCAATCCTCTGATAAGGGAATATGCAAGCAAGAGTCAAGTATTATATGACCTAACACACTATAACAACACAAAAGAATATCATTAAAATACCTGCCGCTGTCCGCCACTTAATAATCCTCCACGCTCACCAACCAATGTATCATAACCCTATAGAGAGGATGATGAGGATGAAGGCATTATGTATAAAATAAAAAGGTAAGAGAGTAATATGCAGTGTAACAACAAACCTGTGGCAATGAAACTATAAATTCATGAGCATTTGCAGCTTTGGCTGCCTTTATGACATCATCCTTGGAGACATCCTCATCTGGAAGACCATATGCTATATTCTCTCCAACCGATACGGAGAAGAGAACAGGTTCCTGTAAGAGGCATTTAAAAGAAAAACAAAACAGATCAAAAAATCTACTAATGGTGGGCTTTGTTGTTCAAACTGCACGAGTTGGATGTGTACTGATATTTTTTATTTCTTTTACATTCAGTGGTATCAATGGAAGATGGTGGACTACTACTTTAGGGCTTAGGCCTGAAATGGGCCAAATCTAAGTAGAAATTAGAGTCCATGTACGTACTTGATTCACCAGAGATACAGCACGTGCCCATTCGCTTTTATCAAATGTTCTCAAATCTTCTCCTGCAACAGTAATTCGACCCCTTGTTGGCTGCACAGTTGGAATATACTAAACACTTAGCTTATCACAGTAATCAGAGTAAATTAATAAAATTTCTAATTCAACGACAAGATTACCTCATAGAAACGTGCTAGTAGCTGTACTATTGTACTTTTACCAGCACCGCTGGGGCCCACTAGGGCAGTAACTGTACTGCATTTTAGGGTCAAATTTAGACCACTGAGGATTTCAACATCAGGCCTCGCCGGATAAGAAAAATGCACATCTGCAATGCCAAGATAGGTTTGATTTAGTCTGATTGATATACTTTGTGCACTATGCTACATGTGAAATGGGGCAAGGTACAAGCGTACAACATAAGCACTCACCTTCAAGACAAATATCACCAGATCGTGCAAGGCTTCGCAAATCACTACCTGATTTTAGGGATGACATGTATCTCAAACTTCTAGATTGCCTTCCATCAGAACCATCAGCCACAAATAGTCCAAAACTTGGATCACATACTTTCTTCTGTTTCAAGTCTTTGTCCAAGGCATAAGCAAGTGCTTCATCGATTTCAGACCCAGATAAAATAGAGTTGATTCTCTCAACAGAGGCAAAGGCCACACGAAGATCTCCAAAGGTATTGACCAACCCTTGAACCTGTAAGATTTGGCAAACAAATAAATAGTTAGACCCATGCAAATTATGTATGTTGTGACTTGTGAGTGTGTGATGTTGCAAATGTATGGCATGGGCTGAAACAGAAACATAAATTCACTTACTGCAAAGGTTAAGGTAAAAGTGTATCCAATAAAAGAAGCCATAGTTCCCACGGAAAGTTCACCCTAATGCAAGGTGAATATCTAAAAGAATTAGTTTAAAAAGAATAAAATCCATGCCAGAAGGAATTAGATCTAAGAACTATAGCAGCCCTGCACAACAAAAAATGTTATCATATCAAGCTCATACTTAGCTCTACAAAACTAAGCCTTAATATCATGAGATCTCACTCCTTCCCTTACAATGAGCTATAAAACCACCTTCCTTGGAGATATCATCCCACAAATTTAAAACTTGAATCCATTTTCAGATCTCATTTATCTATTTCTATCTAACTCATATATCCTGGCCCTATAAAAGTTTCATTTATAGCGCACTGTTGAGCTTGAGCAAATAAGAGAGCCATTAAAATAAGTTATGATACACAATCCACAAGATCCATGTGCTTACGGATTTCACTTTGATCCCTCCAAGACAATATAGAGTCATCAGGGAGACATAAACTGCTATCCTAGTTACAGATTCATTTACAGATTTGAAAATCCCCAGCTTTATGCCACTCTTCTCATACCCAAGAACCTGCGAACAAATTAATAGTGCAGAAAATGAATATGTGGCTGTTATCAATCTCTAGAAATCTGGAAGTGTAATGGAACTGTTAGCTCTACCTCACGAGCAAACACTGACATTTGATGCATTTCTCCCCCAAATGACCGAACCTGCAAAAAATGGACATTGATACCATTAACATGTGGATCCAAATGGACAATGCAATAAGCTGGTTAACATATATGAAACCGCCAAGTAGAACAAAAAGTAGAGAACCTACAGTCCGAATGGCAGAAAAAGTCTCTGTCACACAATCAGCTATTGATGCTTGGACCAACCCATGGGCTTTGAAAACATTCACAGTTGACCTCTTGTATAGGGCTGAAGTTTTACTAACAGTCAGTGACAAGTACAGATGGATAAGCAAACAAAATATGTAGAAAACCTTTAAAAACCCTATCTTTCCTCTCCCTTTGGAGATCAAAGGTTTAAGTTGTAGGGTAAACCGGGTGACTCAGGTTCTATGGGAAAGCAAGGTGTAGCAGGTGCCTTTAGTAAAGTTTTATTTTGCATTGGTATTTACTCTTTCTTTCTTTTTATCGTATATGTTTCACCTTTACATTGTTTTGCTCCTTGTACTGAGTCGGGGTCTCTTGGAAACAGACTATTTACTTTCCAAGTACTGGTAAGGTCTGCATACACACCCCCAACCCATTCTATTGGATTTTACTGGCCTGTCGTTGATGTACATTTCACCTTCACATTCATATTTTAATCTTTAATGGTATTAACAATTAGCATGTTTCTTATCTTAAGCCGGGAGCCGTTTAGAAACAACTTCTCTACCATTAATAAGTATGGTAAGGTTTGTGCACACTCACCCTCCTCTGATCCCACTTGTGGGAGATTTCATTGAGTTGCTATTTACCCTTCACCCTCCTCAGATCCCACTTGGGGGATTTCATTGAGTTGTTAACCCTTCTGCATGATGAACATTGACTTACATACAACTTTAGTAAAAATTTACTCATTAAATAAGAGTTTCTAATAATTTGCCTCCATTAAACAAATCCATTCCATCAAGCCACAAAAGCACAACCAATGGAGCTAAAGGAGTCATTATCCAAATGGCACCTAAAACTTTCAATGCTTCTTACTGTCGATGCAGTTTTGAGTAGTAAATGAAATAATGCACTATGGGTCTAAAAGAGTTGGATTATACTGTTGTTGTTTTGTGTGTACAAACACACACATGTGCATGCATGCATACACAAACACACCCACACACACATAACAGTGTAATGTTGTAATTGCTTGCTAATTTATTGAAGAAACTGTTTACCAACTAAAGCCGACACGCTAAGCATCAATACAGCAAGAATTGGAGCCAGTTGAGGCGACAGGGCAAACAATAAGCACAATGTTCCAATAATCTGCATTTAAAGAAAAGGAACAGTTGGACAAGGAACTATCAAGCTATAATGTCATCATAAAAAAGAAAAGTAAATGCTCATTCCTTATTGAAAATTAATTCCAGGTCAAGCTTGCAAAGCAGTTACTCACTGTGCATGCGCATGGGGTGAGAGGAATTAAGACAAAAATAAAGCTCACTTATGCTTGCCTCAGAAAAAGCTCTAAATCCACGATCCCGAGAAACATTTTCACTAACAATATTCTTTATTGAGCCTAAATCAGAGGTTAGTAGTGCCGTCAGTTCGCCAACCTACAAGAAGGCCACTGCAGTTAATACCAGCAGAGTGGCAGGAAAAGAAATCCCAGAATGGAAACGTATTGAAATGTGGAAATGTATCATGTCTGACAAGATTTTAGCTTAACTTGATAGCATGTTTTTTGTAGAGAAATGTCTGAATGTCACTTTTGGTCATTAAGTTATTGTAATTGTTAACTCAGTCCACCAATAATGACATGGATCCTGATTAGTTAGCAAAACCATTTCCACTACTTCGTAGTGTGGTAAAAACGGGTCCTTGAAAAATCAACGAAGTGTCTTTTGCACCTCATCACAATTACATAAACTTAATCAAGAACTACCCTAAAACTTAGAGACCAGAAATGTTGTTTTGCCTGCAAGTAAGCTCTAAAGTAAAAAAAAAATACGGGGTACAAAAACAGCAAAGCTGACCCGACATTGTGAACCTTGGTTATACACCACTTGTAGATTGAGAGCAAACACATAAAAAGCATACCTTGTAGCGATCAAAGAATTCAACCTGCAAAAATAGAATTGCTGAGTGTTTGTTTTTCTAAAAAAACAATCTAGAGTGATCCAGTACAAACCATAGATTCAGGAGTAATTCAGGTTCTGTTTTTTTATTTCTTTCTTCTTTGGGGGGAGGGGTGGGGGTGGTTAGAAATCACTTCAAACTTACCAATTACTCCATACCATGTATAAATTTTAGATTCGGATGTGAGTTAGATAATCATCACCTTAATCCCGGGTTGGTGGGGGTGTGGTGGTTAGAAATCACTTCAAACTTACCTAGTATAAATTTTAGATTCAGAAGTGAGTTAGATCATCATTGCCTTGATCCCGGTTTTATAGGATGTGACATGAAATTTTCGTGTTGACTGATTATCTAAAATGTTAAACATTATGAATTCATGCAACAGCAACAACAAAAAAAACAAAAAAAAAAGTGGCTTAGATGGCAAGAAAAAAAACTTGAGAGTTCAAATCTGCATGTCATCATTAAGGGGAAAAAACATAGATAGGAGTAAAAGAGATAAAGCTAGATCCAATAAGAAACAAATGTGGGTGTTCTTATCAAGTTGAGGCTCACGTACAAGCTCTTTCGTGTTGAATTGAGATTTGAATGTTGAAGGCATGACGGCAAACAAATCAAAAAACGTAAATCCAAAACGATAAGAGAATGTGTAACCTTCTGGAGCAATACTCTCTGAAACACTTGAGCTCTTAAACTGGACATAACCTTCTCCCACATGGTAATCATGTTTAAAACAAAAATCACAGTGAAAATTGGTTCCAGCGAGTACATAACAGCCACTCTACAGAGAACTTTCCAGAGAGGATCAGGTCTGCTCCCTATTAGAACTTCAAAAAATTGTCCTGCATTGACACTCCAAAGTCCAACCCAATAGAATTAGAAGCTGTAACTCATAAATAATCCACACATACCCATTGTAGACAGAATGCAGTGCAAAAAATGGTACTTTTTTAGAATTTGTCATGAAGGCTGAGTGGCTGACTGTGTGAGACTTTTGTGAATTTGAAAAAACAAGAGGGAAAAAATAAAGATAGAATCTTTTCATGGTCTGAGAGAGAACCAGATAGGATAGGCATGGTGAGAGTGCAAGTGGTGCAGCCAAGGAGAGCTAGAACAGAAGCTGCGAGGTGGATCTTATGGCCGGAAACAAGCCTCCATAAGAGTCCCCAATTGATCACTTCGATCGGCTTTGGTGTGCCGAAATTATCTCCTGAATCTTCGAATTTGAGCTCGCTTTCGGACACAAAGGCGTCAATAGCGGGGCCGGCAGCATAAGCCGACGATATTGCCAATGGCTTCGGCTTCTGGTAACGAAGTAGCTGAGGCCGTGACGATCGGAACGAAACGTGAAAGCGCGACGATTGATTCAGATGCTGAACAAACAGGGGTTGGCGGCGGTGTTTGCCGGTGGTAGAGTGGCAGAAGGGGAGGAGGAAGGCGGCGGCTGCCATGTGCTTGAGGAGTGTCACAGAGTAAGTGAAACTGTTCAAGATTTTTTTAATTAATTTTTGTAAGGTACTCTTAAATCTTAATTGTTTAATGACATTTTCCGTGAATTAATTTTTAACTTGCTTTCATACCCTTTTGTATTTTTTTATAAATTACTCCCTCCGTTTGGAAAAACCCTTCCCATTTGATTTGGGGGCAAAAATAAGGAAGTGTTAAATTATAGTTGATTTCCAATTTTGTCTCTGATGTGATGGGTAAAAGTAAGATGTGATGAATAGATTATTAGAGAAAAAGTATGATGTGATATGTAGGGTATGAAAAAGTAAGGGTAAAAGTGGTTTTTTAATAGAAAGGGGAAGTGTTTTATTGGAAGTGGAAAAAATGAAAGAGGAAGTGTTTTTGAGAATGGATGGATTACATTTTTTATTTTTACAATAATTTAAATTGAAAACAATCAGTTAAACTTTAATAATCGTTAAATAAGAACAAGTAGTTTGTTGAATTTGCTCTATCTTGAAATCAATAAAATGGTTTATGCTCCTAGAGTTTAAACAATCTCTAATTAAAATTTGTTTAAATAAAGGAAAAAAATATTCGGGGAAAAGATAAAATTTGTGAGTCACTTATTTTGTTTTGCAATAGGACAAATGACAATTTCATAATTTATTTTAAAGCAAATAAGAAACAAAAATGTAAAATTTATTTTGAGATTGAGAATTGGTCAAATTTGTTGCTCGTTTATGAATAAGATTTCATATTTTCTCTTTTGTTTAACTCTAAAGTAACATATTTTTTCTTGAAGTAACTAACTATAGTTTATACTTTATTCATTCCAAGAATATACTTTTACTTTGAATATACTTTATATACTCCGTAATTTATTATTCATTTTTTTGTTTGTAAAATACTATATAAAAAAAGTTTCTTAAGCAATTCTTGCGTTTAATTATCCTTTTTTCAATTTTATGTTTTTACTTAAATGTATGTTTGATTTTTTAAAAACAAAAAAAATTTATTTTTTTAATGTAACTTAATTCTACATTTGTTCATTCTAATTTGTATTGAAACCAATAACAACGTACTCCCTCCGTCAACAAATAAACTTTACGTTCACTATTCATATGGTCAAACTTTATTCACTTTGTTGACCTATTTTTGTCACTCATTTAATAAAATAATATAGTCATGTCACCTCTAGTTTTGTAGATCTTTTGATATAGTTTTTTAATATGTAATTTTTATTTTTCAATTCTACACCATTTTTTATATAAAGTGATTTGAAAATAACTTCAGTTAAACATCGTCACGCATAATGTAAAGTTTATTTGTGAATGAATGGAGTATATCAGAATAATATCTCAAACCAAAATACGGGCCTGTTTGGGAATAGCTTTAGAGATTAGCGTTAGCGTTTTCAAAAGGCTATCTACGAGCAGCGTTAGCGTTTTCAAATTAATTTGCACCATTAAAATTTTATCCAAAACGCTAACAGTAATCTCTAACGCTATTCCCAAACAGGCCCTACATTTAGTTGGATAAAGTTGAACATGATCGCTCACAAAAAAGTACTCCCTCCGTCCCGTTATATTCGTCCACTTTTGACTTTTAAAACTGTTCATCTAAGCACTTTGACTCATCAAATTCTCTCAATGTGTAAGCCTAAATATAGTCATTTGTGATCTTGTTTGATTTGTCTTAACATATAGATTATTAATATATAATTTTTATAATTTTTTAATATACAAATTACAAGATAAAATGGATTAAAAAAGTGTATTGAATGATGTGCAAAAATGAAAATGGACAAATACTCTGGGACGGAGCCTCCACTGTCCCCACCTATTATTATTATTATTATTATTATTATTATTATTATTATTATTATTATTATTATTCACGAGACGAGAGAATCTGGTCCTCTGCTGCTCGCCTCGCCATTGCCAGCCACTCAATCTGCCGTCTTCTTCTTCTGTTGATCTCAAACCCTCANCCCCCCCCCCCCCCCCGTACATACACGTCTTTGCATTTATTTGTTGCATTTTTTTTGATACCCTAGCCAGATTTTGCCATCCCCTCTCTCCCTTTCTCTCCTGTATAGCCGCCGCTCCCATGGCACTCAATCGGTTGGTGCTGTTTTTCGCTGTTTTCTCTTCCTCTTTTGCAGCCCTCGACGCCGCCAGCGATGGAGATGCCGATCCGATTTACATGTCAGTTCGGCTTTTCTTATTCTCTATACATCTTTTCCCTTTTTGTTCGGGGTTTGAACGAAATTGAGGTGGTGCTGTTTCAATTTCAGAAATCTTCAAATCAATCAGTGCGCCCCCCCCCCAGAAATTAAAAAGATTTAACCTAAAATCAGACATTTATTTGGAATTCAATGCCAATCCCCGATTTTATGAGAAATCAGCATGTTGTGCAAGTTCTAGTCACATAGCGTTGAAGTATTGTAATCTTTTGTGTGCTGATGGCTGAATCTACTTCAAAATCTATAGTAAATATGCGTTTTTGTTTATTTTTTCTTTTGGTTTTCAAAAATTAGTGCTCATGTAGGTGTCAAAAGTCTGCATTTTTAAAATTTAAAGGTGTGCTTATATAAAACGGACGATGGAAGATAAAGTTGTTAGTGTTCTTGAGTGTGGGTCTGGTGTTAGTTTCAGCTGCATTTTCTTGTTGATTATCTTCTGATTGTGATGTTGTTTTGCCAAATTGATGGTGTGGCAGAGAATGTGTTCAGCAATGCGAGAAGAGTGGGTGTGTAGGGGAGAAATGCTTTCAGCATTGCAATTTTTCATCCGGTGGGAATCCCATTGATGGTCTGTGGTACATGCAAGAGCCACTTTATTTAAGGTGGAAGCAATGGGATTGTCTCCGTGATTGTCGATATCATTGTATGCTGGACAGGGAGGAAGAAAGACAAAAGCTTGGTCTCAAGCCCGTCAAATATCATGGAAAATGGCCATTTCAGCGTGCCTACGGAATTCAGGTTTTCATGCTAAAAGGCAAATATACTCTTAATTCTTTGTTCATCGTCTGTTAGTACACCTTACCTATATTTCCTTTTTTAATATTCAGGAACCTGTTTCTGTGGCACTGTCTGCACTAAATCTTGCTATTCAATTTCATGGCTGGGTGTCCTTCTTCATATTAGTTAATTACAAGTTGCCATTCAGGCCAAATAGAAAGCCATATTATGAGTACACCGGTTTGTGGCATATCTATGCTATTTTATCAATGAACGCATGCTTTTGGAGGGCGGTTTTACATAGTAGGTAAGTGTGAAATTTGAGGGCATGTTTCTTTTTTGCCTTGAATCTTATTCAGTGGATAGTCCTATGTCATGCTTAGCCTCTATTTGTGGAAGCATTTCCACTTAAATTTGGGAAATCCCATCACTTTTCCACTGACTCTTGTATTTCTTTCAGAACATTTTAAATTAAACAAAAAATCTACCAATAAAGCACACATGAAAAGTTTGTTTGATTCATTTACAGAATTACAATTTACAATTTATACTCTGCTAAATGTCTGAAGCGGTTAGCTGACCTTGTTCATGTATGCAGATTTTGTTTGATTCATTTACAAAATTACAGATTCACACTTTATCTTTGCATAGAAAAATGAAGCAACTAGCCATCCTCGCTTTCTTGGGATTAAGTCTTGGTTTTTGTTGGATTGGTGAGTTAATACCAATGCATAGTGAAGAATCATAGTCAAACATGTTTAAGAGGAAAAACACATTAGAGCAACAGATCATTGACTTTCTTTGAATTTTAAAAGTACAACCTCAATTCAAGAATCAGCAAACTGAAGTCTTAAATATAAAAAAAAACATACGGTTGTGATCTTCACTTGATAAAATTACAAGCACATTCGCCACATTTAGAGAAAGGAATGAGTGACTCACATCCTTAACTTTTTAACACTTTGAGCTTCATGAAAGTCAAACAAAAAATCCTCGGTTGTTGGTACTTTTGGTGTGAGACCTGCCCATGTCTGCTAATGGGCCAAAGGTTTTTATTTCACTATCTACCAAACTGTTGCATATCATTTTTGTAAAGATTATATTCCAATCCACCTACTACATGGTATGCAAGTGGTTTTGCCTCTCCAGTTTCTCACATTAAATGTCTTGATGTTCTGAAATTATCTGCAGAGATGTAGATTTGACAGAGAGGCTAGACAATTCTTCTGTGGTTGCCTTGCTAGGGTTTTCTCTTATCTTGGCTATATTGAGAACCCTCAATGTGCGAGACGAGGCTACCAGAGTAATGGTTTCTGCCCCAATCATTGCATTCGTGACTATCCATATCTTGTACCTTAACTTTTATCAATTTGATTATGGTATGAGCCCACTCCCAATCTCGGGCTTCCTTTGCTTTCAACACTCTTAACGTTTAGTTGATAGACATAAACTAAAACTGTCCTTTGTTTGCAGGCTTGAACCGGAAGGTTTGTTTTGCCATGGTCGCAGCAAAGCTGACAATGTGGGGGGTGTGGGCAGGAGGGACTCGTCATCCATCACGCCGGAAGCTGTGGGCCGTAGTGGCAGGGGGCATTCTCGTCACCCTCCTCGAAATATTTGACTTTGCTCCGTACTGGGGGTTTGTGGATGCCCGCGCTGTTTCGCACGCGGCAGCCATTCCCCTCACCTCCTTGCTGTGGAGTTTTGTAAGGGACGATAGTGAATTCAGGACCACTACTCTGATCAAGAAGTCAAAGTAGCAGAATCTGTGACTGGCTGGCTGGTTGGCTACTAGGATAAGTACTGTTTTCCACTTTGCCATATGAATCTTTTTTTTTCCCTTATTGTATTAAGATATCAGAAGAATGTCTTTTTTTGTTTTTGTTTTCCTTTTATTTTATTTTTGGGGTTGTTTTTTTCCCGCAGGGATGAATCCCCTTCTGCACGCGGGTTCCTTTGTTCTCTGTTTCAGTTCCATATATTTAATCAGAGATGCATTTTTACTGGTTTTTAAATTTGTTTTTGGAGGATTGAATGTTTCTCTCTTAAAGTCTATTTTTTCCAACTGAATCTAGTTAGACTAAATTGGTTGAAATTTAGTTACTGTATGATTTTAACTGAATTAAACAAGATTGAAAATAAAGGTCATGAAGAGAGGTATATACTTCAATTGCATCCTAAAATTAAAGTCATACTTTTCATATTTCTTTTTAAAGAAAAGAATATATTCTCTCTTACCCATAGCTAAAATCACAAGATTGATTAGAATTTGATTTATCTTTGTTTTAATTTAGTAAATTAACAGCACAAAGTTAAATAATTTGATATATTTAATAATTACAACATATTGACATTTTTGTTGATATTTTAGTGTTTTTAAGAGTATACTCTCTCTCTCTCTCTTTCGAATTAATTTTTCTTTTTTTCCTTTTTGGACGTCCCCAAAAAAACTTCATGTTCCCTTTTAGGTCGGGAGTTATGGGGCGTCACCCCCCAGCGTGAGAGGCTCTCATGCCTCTCCTCACGCTCCTCCACCATGCCGCTATGCTATGAAATTAAAGGGGCGTTGCCCCTTGTGGGGTGATGGCAATCCTACCGTTGCCCCTTCTCTTCCTCTTTTTTTATAATTTCAACCAATCAAAAACTAATATACATTCACATCTTATCATATTCCTTCAAACCGTATTCACCATAACATACATTTTCATGATTCCACATCATACACATTTACACCCTATCAAGCCACGTCAAGCCTCCCATAACACAGCTTTAGAAAAAAATTGTTACTCACTTTCTATCTATCTCTTGTTTCATTTTTCAACTATACAATTTCACTGTTTTTTTAAATTTGTATCTAACTCAATCAAAAACATTAATTTGGGAATGAGGGAGTATATCAATACTTTTTTATATTATAAATTTTATTTTGATATAAAAAAATATTACTCTGTAGGAGTGGGCACGGATCGGGACGGTCCGGGGTTTTAGGTTGTCCTACGTCTTGTCCCGTTATATATAAACGGTCTGGAACGGTTCGATTTAAAATCTTATCCCGGTTTGTCCCATAAAATTCGAGATCAGAAATTCAGAATAAACCGGGCGGATTCGGGTCGTCATACTTTGTCCTAATCGCAAATTTAAGAAGGGGAAGAGGGTGACATTTCATTCAAAAAAAAAGAAACATTTAGTCATCCAACAAAAAAACAATAAGTGGAACGGGTCTAAATAAATTTCAAGCCTATGAAGTTAATTTAATTAAATAATTAATTAATTAAAGAATGAGTGTATTTGGATTTTGGACTAGAATTAGTATTATATATTAGTGGAGTAAATGAAACGGGCCAAACGGGACGGATCGGTATGAATTTAAGCTGTCCCGCTCATGTCCCATTTGATATTGGGATGGAACGGGTTCGAGATAAAAAGGTGTGTTACAATATATCGGTACAATTACACAACGGATCCAGAATTTTTCGAAACGGTACAACGGGAATGGATTTCACGCCCACCCCTATTACTCCGCAGAACTTTATTTCATTATCCATGCTTTAGGAAAGAAAAATCCATTTGTCCCCCACCCCCTCCTTGTCCACAAAAAAAGGCAAGAAATTCAAAACAAAATAAATAAATAAAAATAAAATAAAAATGGTGTACCCCTAGCATTGCTCTTTAGTAAAACAGATACTCCCTCCGTCCTATATCTTTCTTCTCATTGCGCAAAACGAAGGAAAATCTCAAGTTTTTTCAATCTATTTTATTTAAATATTGGTATAGAAATAAAAAATAAAACATACATATTTAAAAACTACATCAAAAATTCAACAAAACAAGTGGTGATAAGAATATTTTATTTTATCATATATGCCATGAAAAAACACAAATAAATATAAATTTTTGTAAAATTGAAATAGTGCTCTAAAAAAAAAGTTTTAGGACGGAAGGAGTATAGTTTGCACTAGTGTAAAAAGACATTCTTTGACTTTTCTAAATGAAATCCACGAGAGAGAAAAAAAGGGGGCTGAGATTAGGATACTCTTCCCCATATTTCGTTCGTACAGCTTCAAAAACTATGTGCTGATCAGATACAGACGGTTGCATCATATCCCATCCCACTCTATCAAATACGAGTAGAATTTATACACTAATTAATTAATTAATTAATACTACTCGCTCCAGCTACACAGTACGGAATTACATGATCAAAGCATTCAAGACAAAAAGGGGTCCGTTTGAATTAATAATGGATCAAAACGAGTAAGACCAGAGTGGCACGTCAGCCGAACTGTCCACGTAATCATCCGTACGGTCAGCCTCGTAATGAGGCGGAGGAAGCATCAGGGCCTCCGCCATGTCAGCGAAGAATCCCGGCGTTTCCAAGATCACATCCTCCTCCTCCATCATCCACGCCTCCGCGTTCCCCCCTCCGGCGGCCGCCGCGGTGGGTTCGCTTCGGAAGGCTTCGGCAGCCTCGGCGGCGGCCTTCTGGATGTCCCTGGGGTCGAGGGAAGCGGGGACGGGGAGGCGCCAGGCGGAGTCGGCGAAGTTGAGGCATGCAGAGTGGCCCCTGAGAGCGATGGCGGCGACGTCATGCGCACGTGCGGCCATCTCGGGGGTGGGGAAAGTGCCGAGCCATATCCTGGACTTCTTGTTGGGCTCCCTTACCTCGCACACCCACTTGCCGGAGCTCCTGCTCCGGACACCCCTGTACACAGGGTGCCGGGTCTCCCGGAACTTCTTCCGGCCCGCTCGTTTCTTGGGAATATCGCAGGCCAAGGACATGGTGTCTTCCATGATAATGTTGTTCGCGGTGGTGGTCGTCGTCGAAAAACTACTGCAGCCTGCAGCAGTACTAATGTCGTCGGAAGACAGGGGCGAGGATACCGCAGCAGCGCCGCCGCCAGGTGCTTCAGTTGACCAAAAGTTGGAGGATGTGGCGACCGCCGTCAGGAAATTCCCAGAGTAGTAATTGCCCATTATATCCATTATTATTATTACAAGTAGCTAGTATTCTTTTTTTCTTTTTTCTATAAAAAGCTAGCTAGGTAGGATCGGATGAGTGGTGGTATATATTATTACTATTAGGTACGTACTATAGGTAGGTACGTAATAGAGTGGAGTAGTATAAAACTTCTTGTTTGGAAGGTAAGTGTGTAACGTGATAATGGATTTAAATCACATACATTATAATGGAGTATATATATACGTACTCCAATTAAGAGAGAGCTGAGGGATGATGATGAGTTAGTTGATTGATAAGGAGATAGACGCACGTACGTTTGGTACGCGAGAGAACACGGAGTGGGGATGGATCATTTGTATTTGGACAGGCTGTGTGGGTGGGGGAGGGTTGGGAGGAAGGAAAGGAGAAAGGGGAAGGGGAAGAGGGGGGGGGAGAGAGATTTGAATTGAAGGGGAACAAGAAAGCTGCTAAGGGTGGGGGAGAAATAGACGAGAGAGATGGAAATTGGAACGAAAGAAGTGATATGATTGGCCACCGAATGAAAGGGGGATCGTAGTCATGGCAGCTTAATTTATTAATTTCATTAGCTGTACGGTGTGAGGCCAACTGGACTACTCCCACTCCACTCCTCAAACCCATCGCCTCAAAAGGTTTTAATCATTCATTATTACACCGTGTCTTTCCAAGTGCCTTCATGTCGTGTAAAATAGCATGAAAAAAATATGTATATTATGACTTGTCTAAATATATGTTAAATTTTAATTGCTTAAAATATTTAAAAAAAAAAAAGAGAGAGAAGACCATCAAAGTAGTATGATCGCTACAACTTGGATTGGGGCAACGCCGCCCCCCTTCACGCGTGGTATGCCATGGGAAGTGGGGTGTGATGCGTACCTCTTCTACCCAATGTTATTAGAACCGGACCGGACCGGCCGATCCAACCGGTCGGACCGCGAACCGGTGAGGAATCCGGTCTGGTTCAAATGTGAAACCCGGATCAGCATTGACCCGCCCAAACCCGGTAGACCCGGCGGAACCGGTGAACCGAGTCGACTCGGCCGACTCGCGGATTTCTTTTTAAAGTTTTTTTTAAATTCTTTGTCTATAAAATAAAATGATAGAAATAGGATTTAAACACTAGACCTCACCATATAATTCTCCAAGTCTATAACCACTTAAGCTACTCAACACTTGTTAACAAAGTCATGCAGAATAGTATATATAGTGTTTTTTATTTGTATTGAGTGAATTAAAAAAACTCCTAACTTCTAACTATTTGTAAAAAAGATCATGTTTGTGTTGTGTGATTATTTTATAATCTTTTACAGTAAAATATTTCAAAGTAAAAAAAATATACTATTATTTTTTGTATTAAATAATAATGAATAATTTATATCTAAACAAATATTATCATCTATAAAATGAATAAATATATACTAATTATAATAAAATATGCAAAGTGTGAAAGAGTATATGAACAATGACATTGAATGTGCTTCGTATTATTTTGAAATAATATGCATATTTAAGTTATGTGATAATATTTTATTATCTTTAAAAATAGTCCACAAAATATGGTATTATTTAATGTTTTACTATCTAAACATAAATATGAATATTATATACCAAGTAATGGGTCGTTGACCGGGTCGTTGACCCGAGTCAACCCAGTTCAACCGGTTGACTCTTGACCCAGTGGCTTGTTCGGTTCGATGTCTGGTCCGGTTTTCAAAACATTGCTTCTACCCATATATGTACGTTACACTTTCTAACTTGGAGAATTCACTTCTATATAGTGTTAAAATATCCCCATTTTCATTGCAATTTTTTTCTCCCATCTCGATAACTTTTGTTTATGCGCGATTTCAAAAAGTAAGAGATTTTTTCTCGCAAACTCCAATTTATAATATATTGGAGATGGGGGGGAGTATGTTCTGGTACTACTTAGTACAAGTTTAATTTCACTTCTAATTTGTATCGGTGTTTATTACGAAGTATGTTTTCATATTCTACTAGCATTTTAACCCGTGCTACGCACGAGACTGAACAATTTTTCTTTTTGTTATGTATTTTTTTCTTCAAGAAAATAAAACTTATAAGATATGTTTGGGTAAAAGAAAAATACATTTTAAGACATTTTAATTTAATTTACTACATTTGGTTATGTAAGTGGTAAAAAATATGTATTGAGGACAAATATTTTCAACTTAAAAAGGAGAATGATTTTATTTGCTTTGGACGAATGTATATTTTCTTACTCACTCTTAGATTTCTATGATTTAATAAACAAAGCAAAGAAACCCCCTTCTCCATTATACCCCGTCTAAAACCATAGAGATTGAAGCTCTATAGTAGAGTATGTTTTGATACCGATTGAATAGAAAAAATTAAATTACTCAACCAAAATTCATGGATGGTAGGAAAGTCATTGTCCAAAGTTTAAGGTGAAACTCATTCACATTGTACGTCTTAGTGGGTACGGAGGTAATGTTTATTTTCCTGTCATTAGATTTAGAAAAATAAAAACATATACAACATTATAATCGAGTCAATATCACTAAAAAATTAATATATAATTCTAATACCACTTTTTATCTAGATTCATTATATAAGATCTTTCAAACACGCAAAAAAATCATTATTTTTATTCTTTTTTGCATTTTTATATACTTTTGATTGAGTTTTCAAAAAAATATGTTAGTATAACTTATTTTATCAAAAAAATACATTTTAGCCTTTTTAACTAAAAAAATATTTACATTTTAACTCCTTTCGAACTTCTAACTCTTTTTACTTTCTTCTAATTCTTTTTAGCCTTTTCTAACTCTTTTTATGTTTGCAATGCAACATTATTATAGTACAGACTCCTATTTTTCAGATAAAAACATGGAGCTTTTATTTCGGTACATTCTTTATATTTTACTTTTATTTAGCGAGATTTCTTTATAAATTAGTAGGTTATAGTACTTCAAGAAAGTAATTTTTAAAGTTTATTTAAAAAATAACTTTTAATTTTGGGGAATTTGCGGAAATAGAACTAAAACATAATGACTTTTACTAAATAGCATCATATGTGTTTTTTTCCAATTTATCATTTTTATTCATTATCCATTAGTCATTATTCAAGTAAATGTTGGCCATCACTGAATATTATGGACATTATTAAGTGTTATATAGAGAATAAAACAATTTAAGTGTTATTTAGGGAAATGACTTAAGTTTTAATACTATTTAGTCAAATATTTCTTTAATTTTTTATGAAAAAAACTCTTGGAAATATGAATAAGTTAAATGAATTTAAAGGATGTAATTTTTTGTAATATCAAATACTCCGTATATAAGTTTAAATTTATCAAATGTATATAAACATCAAGTTCTAAAAGTTACCATAAACTAATGGTCAGTGATTAAACAAAGTTTCCATATATGAAGTCTTTATTTTAGGAATGATTTTAGATCCGTGTACAGTCATTGTTGACGTGTCAATAAAGACTCCACATAGACGATCCACTTGTCGAGCTCTGATGATCCGAGTCTTCTTTATTATATATAAAGGATAAAGGATTCTAAGCTTAATTTTATTATTCAAAAGAGTATAAAAGCATCTTGAGTGGGAGTTGCTTAGGATAGAGGATATACATAGCTCTATCCTCCACATCAGCGCCACATCATATTCAACTAATTGCATACTTTTCTTATTGCTAGTGATGGTGTACATACGTCAATTCACTAATTTACTACAATTTATTTTTAATTAATTAAATTAAAATAATAATATAAATTAATTTTAGAATATTTCTTAAATAATTAACTCCAGTCAACAATATAAAATGAAATTAAAATGTTTATTAAATACTCCATTTATTATAAAATAATAATTTGGGTTTTATTCTCTAGTGCATTTAGTAAAATAGGATTATATAATAGAAAATGATGTAAAATGAGTAATTACATATACCAAAAAATATAATTGAATAATATTTATAGTTGAATTATGTGCCCAATATGATTGACAACTCCGTAGACTGCTTTAATGGTTATTTTTGGTACCAAATGGTAAGGGGTGATGTTACCCTCTCTACCAAAATACTACATCATCTTATTTTGGTATCAATTTCGTCATACCCTACACTCTTAGAGAGAGTTCATAACTATGGTATGGCTCTTTCTCAAAGTAACTCATTTGAGAAATGAAGCAACTAGTTCTTCATATATACTCCACATGAGCTCCACATCAACTATTTTCAATGAAGAAACCCCTTAATAGTTTTGCATTAAAGGTGCTTTAATGATATTTAAAGTACGTACCAACGACCGTTCCTATCATTACTGCCAAAATCATCAGTTGGCTAAATAAAATTAAAGCTTCAAACCCTCATTCTCGTAGTGTACAATTAAACGCCACATTTTACAAATACACATAGGGGGGAACTGAACAAACATGGTACCATAGTACTGGACCATTATGGTATCGAACCATTTATAGTATCTTTAAATGGCATTTTTTTTATCACAAATTCAAAACCGAACCGATATGAAACGTGATGAGACCATGATATAAAAATTTAAAATCGATTATCACAAATCAAACCATTCAAAGCTATCTACAAAATATGTCAAATACTTATTTGCATTGTCTACTTCACATTACCATACATGGAGTACATGTTATTGTATTATTCTTTTTTATTATTCTTTCATTATTATTGTCGTTATAACACTCATTACTAGCTACTATGAGCACTATTTTTTTGAATTACTAATACTTTAATATAAGAAAATTGTTGCCGGGTACCTTTCGTTTTGTGATAAGAACTCATAGGTCCCATCTTTTTTAAAAATATACTGCGGGTTACCTTTATTTATCCAAAAACTAACTACGGGGGGACATTTGTCCATTCCTCTGTCAAATTCATTTTTTCTGTTATCTTTTCATCATCTTCTTACTAAAACTAGTCTTCAGGTACCCTCAATTTTGTAGAAATAACTTCCAAGTCCCATCATTTTTAAAATATACCCGGATACCTAAAAATATCCAAAAACTTGCTATGGAGGAATTTTCCTTTTTCATTTATTACTACTATTGAAGTATTATTATTATTATTATGAGATTATTTTCATTATTGTGATTATTATTATTACTATTATATTATTATTATTAGATTATTTTTATTATTTTGATTATTATTATTACTATTATTATTATTATATTATTATTATTATGAGATTATTATTATTGTGATTATTATTATTACTATTATGGATTATTATTATTACTCACTTCATCATTGTCTTCCGCAGCTATCACTCGCTGCCGCTTTGTCTATTGAGTTGCGTTGGATTGTCGTTATAGTAATAATAAAATAATAATCATGATGATGATAGTAGTAGTGGTAGTGATAGTAATAGTAATAGTAATAATAATTATAATACTAATAATAATAATAATTATAATACTAATACTACTACTAATAATAACAAAAGGAAAAAAAAGAAAATCTCCCGGAGTAAATTTGTGGATATTTTAGATTATCCCGGAGTATATTTTTAAAAATGATGGGACCTGAGAGTTATTTTTACAAAATTGAGTGTACCTAACAACAATTTTTGGAAAGAAGATGATGAAAAGATAACAGAGAAAATGAATTTGACGGAAGAATGAACGGAATGTCCCCTTGGAGTTAGGTTTAGGATAATTAAATTAACCCCGGAGTATATTTTTTAAAAAAATGAGACCTGTGAGTTCTTATCACAAAATCGAGAGTACCTAGCAACAATTTTCTGCTTCAATATTGTATAGATTGAAAAAATTTCTTTAAAAAAATGAGTCGTTGTCTTTTATTCTTTACGTTTATGATTTTAAATTCGAAATCATTATTTTTTTAAACAAAGGCGTGTTTTTATACAAAATTCTATTGTACTTTTGTTTTAACATTATTTGAGTAATGCATGTTTAACTTGTTGGCACAGAATGAACATATATAGGTATGATATTGTATCGTTTCGTTTCAAAACAAGTGGTATCACATAGGTTTCCATTTTCTCTTTTTTTTTTGTTTCTCTTTCATTTTTTGGTTCCGTGCAACTAACTGCTAGGGGATGTGGTTTCCCCACGGAATGAAGCGCGTGCCCTTATTGAAATATCTCTCCAGCCTTAATTCGATCTGTATGTTCTCCATTCATCATCATCATCCATCGCGCCTTGCCTCCTCCTCCTCCTCCCTCTAATCTTCATCTTCATCTGCATCTTCGATCGGGTCTTGGATCTTCTTCGATCACTGACCGACCCCCAGGCCATCATCCCGGCCGCCCCCACTTCCCGTCCCAATTAAATTAAATGTACGGCTTCCCCAATCATCCATCCATGCACACTTGCACATACCTCTGTACCTACAGTACTCTTGTACGGACAACAAGTGGCAGATCTAGCTAGAATGGGAAACTTGTTAGGTTCCCTTTTCATAAAGAGAACTGAGAAGGACACGGAGGATTTTTTCTGTGGATTAATTAAGCTATTTGTACATCAAATATTTCATTTTGTACCTCAAAGACATACACCAACACTTTATACTAGTGTGGTGATAGTGCAAATTTTTTAATTAAACTAACATTTTATACGCGTGTGAAACATTAAAATATCAGTGCAATTCCATGGGGTACACTTTTTGGGGTACCTGGTATGGTTTTCTTTCTATAAAACCAATGTGAATGACAAAACATAAAAACATTTACTAGTAATCTTGTATTTCAAACATTCATCATATAAATAGATTTGGAATTGATTTGTTTGGAAATTGGACTTTTAATTGGGGAATTGTTTTATATTGCAAAGCTCGTTCTTTTGAACTCGATGACACAAATAGATCACAAATCAGAGTTTTAAGGCTGAGATACGATTAACGAACTAGATGTTTGGGTACAATCTTCATTTATAATAAAATCGCCACGTTAGCATGATACCGCCAGAAAAGACTCATGGTTTTCAACCAATTAGATTTCCACATAAAAATCCGTATATTCGTGTTTTTGGTTGTTAGCTCAGTCACCAAGCTTATTGTCTTAGACGCACTATAGAGCCATAAGTCCGCCCCACCTCGTTGACACCATCAACATATAAATCAAATTTATTATTCTATTAATTTTATTCTACTTTTAGTTTAGATAAATACATTCATGCTACATACTCCCTAAATACGTATTACCATACTCTGTATTAATCAATAAAATATAAAAATTAAAAAACTTAAATAATCAAAAGTATGCTTTTTATTTTTATGAATGATAAAAAACCTAATTATTACACAATAAAAATAAAGATTGGATCAAACCAAATATCGAATGGTCCTTACTAATAGACTCTATAGTCTCAAGAAGTTCTTATTATTCTATTGTCAAAAATGAAACGGACTAGTCTGAACCGATTACGAAAAAATTAAACCAATCTTGTCGAATGTAATACTTCACCCGTCCTGTAATAAATTTTCATAATTGATAGTGCATAAAGAACAAGAAAAGCAAAATTATACTCCGTACAATTGAAAACACATGGAAGAGAAATAATAATAGTCACTAAAACTATGCCAATAGTGTAAATTGGTTTTTTAGATGGACGAATGAGAAATGTGAAAGTTTGTTATGATACAAACGAAGTATTATTATTTCCGTGTCTGAAAATAACATTTTTATTAACATAGTGTTTGTGATGAAAATTTAATGATATAAGTTTCTTTTGAAAAACTAAAGCCTCACTTAATTTTTTTAAAAAATAGTAATTCTAATTTTTAACTTTTGTCAAACATGCCATTAACCTCTAATGGAAAAGAAAAAAGAAGAAATTTCTTATCTAATTTTTGATCTAATTTTAAAATAAAACCATTTTAATCTAGTCAAATTCTTCTCTAATCTTAAGATTTATATTAATATTATAAAACTTAATATATAAATATCATAAATAAACTGGTCTAATTGAAAAAAATTAATAGATCTTCACATCAATTCATGAAATGTGTGAGAAAATATCCAGCTTTAAAATCAAGCACAAAAATGAATACGTATTTATTTCCCTAAAACTGAATTTTTCATGCTCATTTTTCCTCGCTCCATCTTCCTCATTCCTCAACTAGGGTTCCGACTCCTGTGAGCCCGCCAAACATCCACGGGTATGGTCTTATCTATATTCAGTTTCACAAGATCTGGTAAGGTTGCATACAAATGTTGTGTAATTGATCCTTTTAAAACCTATTTCGGTGTATTTTGACCTTCTAACTTCATCCGTTTTCTGAACTCTGTTTCAAATCATTCAGCCGGTGCGTTTGATGAATTCATTCATGCCTTAAGTTTTCATTTTTCTATATGATAGATCTGATCTGTTTGTGCTTAGATTCGATCTTTATATTGAGATTCGAACACTAGATCTTTGTTTTTTTTCGTTTTGCATTTACGCTTTCGAGTGCATATCTTGAAAAACACATCATATGCTTTTGCACTGTAAATCTCGCAGAAGTTATTTTTAATTTTGAGACTTCAGGTTTTCAGTATTTTCTGCAGTTAAGATGAGGCCAATTTTCTGTGGGAACTTTGACATTGAAACCAGGCAGAGTGAGCTGGAGAGGCTCTTCAGAAAATATGGAAATGTTGACAGGGTGGACATGAAGNCCCCCCCCCCCCCCCCCCACCACAACACACACCATGCACTTTGTAAAGTTGTAACTTGGTGCTCTAGAGCTTGACAAAGTAGTTACTTATAGTGGATTTGGTTTATTCGATTGAACTGTTCATCAATTTAGTTAAGTTTGAGCCTTTTACTCTTATAAATTCTAGTTACATAAAAAGAATCAAATGATAACATTTTTGAAAGATTTCATATGTAAACTGGTGGTTTGTCTTAGATCAAGCCAATCGTTCATACATTTCGTTTGTTGTGGGAATCTTTTAAGCACAACACTGTTTCCTTCAAGAATGGTTTTCGTGTCAATCCATATTCCGGAAATAATAAGTAACTCTAGAAATTATGTGTACAACTTCCTTAAATGCAATGGGCTTGAGCTTATGCTACGGGGTCCTTGGGTGAGTGCCAACAATGAAGGTCTGAACTCCAACCCCAAAAGACCAGCGGCAAGCTACTGCAGCGATGGTTCTGATTTTTGTAGACTCCTATCAACAATTCAACATACTGCTTCCATATCTCTATAAACAAAGCGTCTGTTCGCTGTGACAATACATAGCTTGTGCATAGATGTTTCATTGCACTACAATAAAGTAGAAGATAATGCTGATGTGGTCAAAACCAGATCTGATCTGGCTTACTCTCAATCTGTTTTGGCCAACCACACTGGAGAGACTTCTTCTTTTGGTGGGTAAATAAATCTGTTGAGGTCTTTTTAAGAAACTCAGCAATGGGCGTGAGGGCTCAGAGAATTAGCATTGGCCTGCAAGAGGCAGGCTACTACACAGCAGAGTATCTATCTTCAATTCAAGATGATGCAGCTTTACAAAATCACTCTCTATTGAGATGTTTCAGGGTGTCATAAATATGGATATTGGTAAAGGAAACAGTATATTTTGATTTAGTGTAAACCCCAATTCTCAACTGATTCTTTGGCGCAGGATAATATTGTGATGTTCATACATTCATGGCTGGTTGACAAGGTCTTCATTTCCTTTGTTGGATGTGACAAGCACACTCTTGTTTAAAAGAGCTATATGATCCATCATGGCACCACAATCATGCATTTTCCTTGTCATTAGTACCATCCATTCATCATCACTTTTCCCCTGCCTTCTTTGCCATGCTTAATGCCGGCCTCGAAGCTGAGGTAGCAGAATAATATGGAGAAGGCTCTCCCTTCACTACATTCCCACCATGAGACATCCACTTTTCGATTCTTGTTCCTTGACATCAATTAGTCCAATGTTCAAGGTCTGTTACTGATTGTTACTGGTTTTTATAGTATCTAGATTTGCCATTGCCTTTTTTTTGTAATGAGAGTGATATGCTAGATGGTTCAGAGATCTGCTGGATGATTTTATTTGCGTGTTGCAAAGGAGTCCTCTTGTGCAAGGATTCTTAACCATTATTTTCATGCGAGTTTTCAATTAAAAAGTTTTTTTCTTAATTTGGATAGGATTTGCTTTTGTGTATATGGAAGATGAAAGAGATGGTGATGATGCTGTACGAAGACTTGACCGTATGGAATTTGGCAGAAAAGGACGTAAGCTCCGTGTTGAGTGGGCAAAGGTCAGTTGTATGCCTCTCTGTTATTTACTTTCTTTCACTTCCTGTAGTACTTAGCCGTTCTTATGATTTTGATGCAGGAAGAACGAGGCAGGCGCCATGAGAGTACCAGGAGATCTACCAATAGCACTAGGATTTCAAAGACTTTGTTTGTCATCAACTTTGATCCCTACCATACTCGGACAAGGGACTTGGAGAGGCACTTTGAGCCATATGGTAAAATACTCAACATAAGGATCCGAAGGAATTTTGCATTCATTCAGTTTGAAACACAAGAAGATGCCACTAAAGCATTGGATGCTACACACTTGAGGTTCATTTACACAGTTGCTCTTTTACTCTTATTTTTCATTCATTTGTGTCTTTCCCCAAATGTAATGTTCTACTTCCGTATATTTGGGCTCTGGAAAATTTGAGCTAACACTATATATGATTTAATTCTCAATCTTTATATATATATATATATATATATATATAGATATATAGATATGTATTTATGTATATATAGATACATACATACATACATATATATATATCATTGTTTTTATAATAGAAAGAAACAATAAATAAAATGAGTTTGAACAAATATTTGTGTTTATCATCAAAATCAGCACTTAATTTCAAAAGGTTTGGTTTGGTGATATTAAAATTAAATTTGTCAAATAACTGTATAACATTGAGTAACACTATACATTCATGAAAAAAACAGTGACAATGTATAACATATGATGACCTTTCTGTTGCAGCCTTCGTAATAAGGAACTATGAGATCAAAATTATAAAACCTTCATCATAAGTTATTTTTACATGTGCAAAAATTGTCATGAGAAGGTAATGGTTTTTTATTTTTTGTTATTGTCATGTCCATTACATGATTGATATTGAAGATCAACATGCACATTACGGAACATGCCAAAAGTTTCCCCAATTAATTTTATTTCCTCCCCTTCTAATCTTACTTCATATATGGTCTTTACTTAGTAAATTCTGGCTTCCAAGCGACCCTTAATGTAATGACTAATAACTCCATGTCCCTTTGTTGTATATGCAGTAAAGTGATGGATCGTGTCATTACTGTGGAATATGCTATCAAAGATGATGACATGGGTGATAGGAGAAACGGACGCAGTCCTGATAGAGGTCGTGACAAGTTTCAAAGAAGGGATGGTAATGACCGGGACCGGTCTCGAAGCCCGTATAGGAGAGAGAGGGCCAGCCCTGACTATGGTGGGGTTCATAGGTCCAGTCCTGACTATGGTCGGGGACATAGGTCCAGTCCATATCATAGAGAAAGGCACAGTCCTGATTATGGTTGTAGACCTGGTTCAAGCCCAGCTAACAGAAGAAAGGAAATTGAATCGGCCTGTGACCGTAGTCCTAATGTTAGGAAGAGGAGGTATTCTGGTAATGGAAGTGCTTCTAGCCTTAGTCCTGTACAGGAGAGGGCTGGTCCTGGCAATGCCCGTGAACGTAGTCCAAACAACAGTGGAAGGGATTTTGAACGGGCCTGCAACCGTAGTCCAGATGCTAGTAGGAATGAGAGGTATGTTGGTAGGGACAAAGCTCCTAGCCTCAGGCCTATGCGGGAGAGTTATAGCCTTAGTCCTATACGGGACATGGCTGGTCCTGACCGTAGTCCAAACCACAGAAGGGATGTTGAATGGGCCCATGACCATAGTCCTAATCACAGAGGAAGTAATTTTGAACGGGCCTGTGACCGTAGTCCAAACCACAGAGGAAGGAATGTTGAACAGGGCCGTAACCTTAGCCCTAACCACAGAGGAAGGGATTCTGAACGGGCCCTTGACCGTAGTCCTAATCACAGAGGAAGGGATGTCCGTGACTGTAGTCCACACCACAGAGGAAGGGATTCTGAACAGGCCAGTGACCGTAGTCCTAATCACAGAGGAAGGGATGTTGAACGTGGCGCCCATGACCGTAGTCCGAATCACAGAGGAAGGGATGTTGAACGTGCCCGTGACTGTAGTCCACACCACAGAGGAAGGGATTCTGACCAGGCCAGTGACCGTAGTCCTAATCACAGAGGAAGGGATGTTGAACGTGGCACCCATGACCGTAGTCCTAATCACAGAGGAAGGGATGTTGAACAGGCCCGTGACTGTAGTCCACACCCAAGAGGAAGGGATGTTGAACAGGCCAGTGACCGTAGTCCTTACTACAGAGGAAGGGATGTTGAACGGCCCCACCATAGTCCAAACCACAGAGGAAGGGATGTTGAACAGGCACGTGACCTTAGTCCAGACATTTGCATGGAGAGGGCTGGTCCTGAAAATGGGCATGCTAACAGTCCTCCAGAAAGGGGAGGTCCTGAATATCCTCATGGACACAGCCCGAGTCCTCAAAGAGAAGATCAAGAGAAGTCAAGTCATCTAGGTGGAATTGAAGTGCCTGGTTTAAACCCTAAAATATATGATCCTGAGTTTAGGAGGGAAAGTCAAAGTCCACATGAAATATACAAGAGGTGTCTTTGCTTACTCTTTTACTCTGAAGATAGATATTTACTAGTGATTTTATTTAACAGCCAATCATTTACTATTTCCTTAAAATAATGTATTTTGCTGGGTAATGCAGTCGTTCATCTTCATCCTAAGAGAGGTCTCCCTGTTGATGAAATTCATGGAATGTGCTGCTGTGTGCTGGTCCAGTGCTGTGATGCCATTTCTTCTTTAGCTTTGTCATTTCAGATGTTCGTTTTGATATTTACCATTACTGCGTTTTACCTGCAATGGCCAACACCTTTTTCTGCCTTATGTTGCATTTTAGATGTTTGAATGTTAGAACTGGTTATTCAATTCTTTTTATGGGGAGACTTTGGTCCTTGAGGTATTGTTGGCGGTGAAAACATATGAACAAAGAGCGTTTTGGACCCCTATTTTCCTTGCTCGACTTGTATGTGCTAGGCATAATTAATCTGCTGTGCCCAAAGTGGTTAACACACAGAGTGCCACAGTTGATGGTTTGCCGTCGGAGGCCTTGAAACCCCCCCCCCCTCCCTCCCTCCCTCCCTCCCTTTCTCATGCAGGCACACACTCACTCTCTGGAGTCACTCTTATTGATAACTTTTCATATAACCCAGAGTTGCACGTTTGGTTCACCAAGTACCAAATAAAGTTCTGAGATATACAAAGAATGAAAATGACTGTCAAAAGTGATGTATCCATGACCCAAAAAAAGGAAACCACATGGGGACACTTAGTTTGGGTGTAAGTAAGAGTAAGAAAAAACCTCGTTTGAAGGTGTACATCTTACTCATCACTTTAGAGTGTTACAAAAATTTGAGAGTAAATGAATGAGGTGCTATTCTTTTTCATTACTAAAAAAATTTCTCCCAAACAAAGGGAAAGGAGTACTCACTCTTACTCATTCTAACACTCAATGCAAACATAGCCTTAGAGATAGAAACTCAAAGAGGTAAAATGATATATGTCCGAAAGTTAATGAGTTTTTTGGGATGTAATTTTAGGACAAGTCAATGCCTTATTCTCTTGTCATTCTTACACTTGGAAAAGTTTGAGCCAATCTAGCACACTTGGAGGGAAGGATTATCCAATTTTCTACACGTGAGAACGGGAGACAATGAAATTTAAGCTATTCTTAACCATGGAATGAGTAATGTCCTTATACATTGTCTAGCACTTGGGAATAATGGATTTGAGAGTTACAAGTGTTTCCCTTTCTCTTGGATAGAGTTGATTTGCCTCACATTGCTTATGATAACAATAGGTTTCTTTTTTTTTTTGTCTTGAATTGGCTATATATTTTTGTCCTTCCTCTCAAGTTCGAAGAATATTACTCCACACATGTTAAGAGCCAATGGCCAAAAATACGTCCAAGATATATATATATATATATATATATATATATATATATATTAGGGAGTATATTGTAAGTCTTCATCACAAATGTTCTCATTATGGCTTTGTCTTTAAGCTTTGCATGTTAGACTTGTTTTATGTTGTTTTTTGTGTCTTGCTTTGCTTATGTACAAAATAAGCATATTCTCGTATAGTAGATGGCTACTAATATACTCCATAGTATCAACTCGCGTAAGAAATTTAGATTCGAAGCAATATGCTAAATTGAGTTTTACCTCATTTGTGAAACTTCCAAAAGATAAGTTCTGGTTTCGATCGACTACTCCCTTGGTTTAGGAGGGTGAATTATAGGTCAAGGTATTTGGTTAATTAAGAGTGATTCTTAAGTAAGATTCAAGTTGGGAATGACACTGTAGAATATACATATGATATGTAACGCCTAACCATATATTAAATATTAAAATGTTATTAACACAAATTTATAGCAAAACCTATTCTTGGAAAAAATGTACATTTATCTAAAACAGAGCGAGTAACAAATTTTAACGATTTAAGTTTTCAAAATTTTAATTAGAGAACACATATTTAACATGTTTTAATTATAGAACTAGATAGAATTTGTACAAGGAAACAAAAAATATGTCTCTTGAAGATGATATTGACGAGAGATTGAAAGTTGACTGACGTTTTTTGCAACACGGTAAACTATGTTAATTGGAAAATGCTTGGTTCACAAACAAAAAAATGGTCTTAAACTTCACAAACTTACTAATTGTGAACTTCAATAAATAAAATTAAATAGTCTAAAATAATTTTAAAATGAAAATTCAAACCATAAATAGTAAGTTTGTGAGTATCCTATTTGTGAATGTAGCATTGTTCATGTTAATTAGCGTCGTACCACATACTCTGTATTTATTATTAATTAGAGATAGATCTCTCAAATATAGACAAGCCTAAAGAGAGCTACTATACAAAGAAAGGAAACAATCACAATCAAATATAGCTTATCCCCATAATTGGAAAGTCCAAAAAATACATCCATAATGCAAACACATACTAGTACATCACAAGGGGGTAATTATTTCACATGAAAATATATAGGCACATTCAAACAGAGGGAGGGAGGGGTTTGAGGAATGATAATCCTAACAAAACCTCTACATACACAAAAGAATGGAGACTATATATATATAGTCTTTTTTGTAGGAGCAGCATCTGCAGTTACCAAACCAACAACACATCAACAAAGAATGAAGAAGAAGAAGAAGAAGAAGAAGAAGAGGGCTGATGAAATACACAATAATCAAATCAAGCTGTATGCGGGTCCAGCACGATGAGCCGGCGTTTCTTGACGTGATGGGGCATGATCAAACGTCTCCCATTTTGTCGTTATCACGATAGGCTGTTTATGATTCCCGCTACTGCTGGCTGCTGCCGCCTGCAATGGGGTTGAACTCCCATCCTCCTCCCCATTACTATTACTACTACTACTACTACTGGCACTACTGCTCGCCCGCATTGAGTTTTTGATTTTCAACTTATCAAGTGTCTCCACATACTTCTGAACTCTTCTTACCTGAAAACACAAACCCTATAAACCAAATCGAACCTTTTGATTTTCAACACATCCAACACACACATACATGTACACGCAATTACCTGCATTTTCCTCTGCAATTTGACATCACCTTCAGCAAGAACGCCATCCAATTTGAGGAGCTGATTCATCAGCAACTCGATCAGCGTTATTATCGCCTTCTCCTCGACCCTCCCTCCCCTTGAAATTACAGATTCAAGCCCAGAAACCTGCTTACAACGCCACCCACAACAAAGAACTGAATTGAATATATTGATGGATATTGGATCAGAAGAAAGAAAGAGATAATCACTGCGCCTACCTGGCCACCGAGCCTATCGACCTCCAGGCTGATCTCTGATACAGTCTTTGCAGCCTTCTCCATCTTAGCGTTCTTCCTCATCTCAATATATCTCTTTTCTTGGCTGATTGGGTCCTCAACGAGCAAGATCTTGGACTTGTTTTTAACCCCAGAAATGTCAAGAAATGCTTTGGAGTCCATCTTCTTGTCCTTGAACAGCAGCTGTTGATCTTGGTGGTGCAACCCTGTCGCCCCTGTTAACATCTTCTTCAACTCCCCTGCCAAGATTCCAATCAACCCCACCTTTCATTTATTTATTTTTTTTGAATAAATTATGCAATAGGAAGCAGATTATGGAGAGGCAGATCGTTGAATAATTGATATATTACCGAAGGTGGCTTGGGAGCTGATGTTGATTTCGTGGTAGACCGACCCGTATTTGACCCGGACCCGGATAGTGGGAGGAGCGGGGCGGTCATCTGAATCAGTGTTCCGTTTCTGGACAAGCATCCCGCAGGGCCTCATCTCCCAATCACTGTTGCCGCTGCCGCCGGCAACGCGAGAGCCTCCGGATGACATCTCCGGCTGAGGAACGGCGGCGGGCCTTGTCTTCATCCGCATCATCCTATCTATCTTGGCCTCCCCGGCGGCGGGCCTTGTCTTCATCCGCATCATCCTATCTATCTTGGCCTCCCTCCAGCTGTATGTCGTCTATATACTGTACTATATATACTCGATCGACAGACCCAAATTAAAACCCGAAAAGAAAGAACGAATTAGAGTTGACCCATCCAGACACAGTTTCCCCTCAAAGTTTCCACCTTTAGAAGAAGAAGAAGAAGAGGAAGTACAAGTTGATGAGCAAGGTAAGAATAATGGATGTTAGATAGGGGGGCGGGGCGGGGAAAGAATCAGAAGAAGAAAAACGATGAGAAACCAATCTTGATGATTCGTTGAAACATGGGCGCGGAAGTGTCGGTGGCGGCAAATTAAAGAAAAAGAATTGCACTAGAGAAAAATAACCAAAAGAAAAAAAAAAGAGGTTTTACAGATCTTTATATATCGGCAGACGACGAAGCAGACCCATATAAAATGCAGAGGAGGAGGGGAAATAAATGAAGTTTGGTATAAATTAAAAAAGAAAAGGCACTAAATACCAACCAACGCCAAAGATGTAAATAAATGGAACCTCAAGCTAATTAAGGGAGTAGAAGCTAAGAAAAGAAAAGTGTAAAAGAGGAAAGGAAAGAGGAGAAGGCTTGACTGTACGTATCCAATGAGTTAGCTAGCTAGCTTAGGGTGGGTGGGTGGGTGATTCTAAGCAAGTCCAATTAAGGAGGGAAGGAGAGATGATGGAGTAACTGAAGAGATACGAAACGTAATAAAGAAAGGGCGGACAGCGCAGCAGCAGCAGAAAAGAAGAAGATCATGCTAGGGTGGGTGCCTCCACATGGGTGCACCCATGATAGCACCCATGTGGTGGCACTCGAGCATTTTCCAAAGAAGCATTTTCCAAAGAAGAAAGAAAGAAAGAGAGATTCACTCACTATACTCCAACCAAGTCGCACGGGACCCACCTTTTCCAGCTTTACATACATACTTTACACCACGGGCAACCGACTCCTCCCGCTATTACTTTATTCCGTACATTTTTACACCCCCCCAGTAGGTTAATTAAAAAAAAGAAATGCAATGGTGTGAGGGTGAGGGTAAAAGTGACCGTTCACCGGCGAATCCTTGTGATTTGTGAAAGCGTAGACATGGGACTTTGGGTGGAGAAGGAGGAGGAGGAGGGTGGGTTTAGTGAGGAATTTCGGACATTTAGGCAAATCATTACTTTGTTGATTATAGTGCTAATTAATAAGGCTTACTACTACGATCCAGAACAAGACAACTGGCCAGATCCATCATCGGATCCATGTGAGACGCTCCCTTATTTTCACCATTTCTTTTTTTTCCTAAGGTCTATCATTGAGTATCATTGAGTATGACATCGTATTTTATTACTTAAATAATCTCTTTTTTCAATAAAAAAAATATATATATGAGAAAATCCATAAAATTGATATGCACCCAAGATGCCCCATACAAGCACTTTCCTAATAAATACTCCCCTAGTCTTAAAATTTTCTTCCCGTTGCGCAAAACGAAGAAATATCACAAATTTTTTCAATCTATTTTATTTAAATATTGGTAGAAATAAAAAATAAAATATACATATTTAAAAACTACATCAAAAGTTCAACAAAACAAGTGGTGACAAGAATATTTTATTTTATCATATAGGCCATGAAAAAACACAAATAAATATAAATTCCCGTAAAGTTGGAATAGTGCTCTGGTAAGAAAATTTTAGAACGGAGGGAGTACTTCCTCCTCTCAAATTAAATTACTTGTTTACTATTTGTATAGTCGAAGTTCATTCATTTTCTTTTTCTAAAACAATATAATCATGTCTCTACTAGTTTTATAGATCTTTTAATATTATTTTTAAACATATAGTTTTTATTTTTTATTTCTATCCCATTTTTCATATAAAATGATTTAAAAATAATTTCAGTCAAACTTCATAAACCGAAACAGTCGATTTAAATTGAGACAGAAGAGTAGTATACACAGTATAAACATTAATCTCATTTTAATAATGCAGGGTTCTGTTGACTTTTTCGACTCAAACTCGATAAACTTTAAAATTTTGTTACTCTCAAATTTTAATTGCACATAGAAACAACAATATTTGATGGGTGTAATCCACCTAGAACCGGTCAAAGGAAATGTCCAAATGTTTGACCGGTCAAGTTGTTTATTATTGAAAGAAAGATCTCAATCGTCAGTAAAAGAGTGCGTGGATGACCGGAAAAGTTGACCGGTATACTTCGGATAGTATACCGGTCAAATTACTTCATCGCCTAATCCACTTCCTGAGTTTCCATCGACTCAACCCTCAGGAGCTACCCGGTATGTTTCCTGGGGTTGAAGGGTGTCAGCAAGAAGAATCCAAAGAAGCTTGGGTTGTAGTGACTAGTATCGCTGGAAGATCAATGGAGATGCTAAAGGAATCTCTCCAAGGCGTTACCTGACAAAGAAGTAATCTTCCTCGCAGGATGACAAGGCAGCTAAAGGACGAAGCCCATCACCTCCCACCATCCGAGAACGTGCCTCAATGTGGGTGCACGACGTCCTGTCCCTTTCAAACTCAGTATATAAACTCCTGTAACCCTCAAAGGAAGGGATCAGAATTCATTTTCTCAAAACCCCCTTCTAAAATCTCCCGTGTATTCTCCTATATTTATAATAACAATTGGGCTACAGGTGTTTCCATCTACAGTCCTCCCGGTCATTTTTTGTGTTTTTACCTCTTTACTTTCCGAATCAAGTAAACGATTCTAGACCCGGTCTAGTATAGTTTACCCGGTTAGGTAATTTACACCATCAATATTCATGTCAAATTTGGCAACTTTTTTATGAATTTAAAATTTGGTCAAAAAATGTGATGGTACCCTTAAAACTCGAGACCAAAGGTAAAAGAATAATAATTTAGACATTACTAACAAGTCTTTTTTATATGAAACTTTTACAAAGGTTTTAACATGCAAATAGAAACATCTGTGTCAAACTTGGCAACTTTTATTATGAATTTAAAATTTGGCCAAAAATGTGATGTTCTTACCCTTAGAGCTCGAGGCCAAATTTGGCCTCGAGGTTTATGGGTATCATCACATTTTTTTTGCCAAATTTTAATTCATCAAAAAAGTTGCCAAATTTGAGAGGAATGTTTCTATTTGCATTTAAAATTCTTTGTAAAAGTTTCATGTCAAAAAGACTTTTTCAATAATGTCTAAGTTATTACTCCCTCCGTCCTAAAACATTTTTCCCAGAGCACTATTCCAACTTCACGGAAATTTATATTTATTTGTGTTTTTTCATGGCATATATGATAAAATAAAATATTCTTATCACCACTTGTTTTGTTGAATTTTTGATGTAGTTTTTAAATATGTATGTTTTATTTTTTATTTCTATACCAATATTTAAATAAAATAGATTGAAAAAACTTGGAATTTTTCTTCGTTTTGCGCAACGGGAAGAAAGTTTTAGGACGGAGGGAGTATTTCTTTAGTTTTGGCCTCGAGCTCTATGGGTACCATTACATTTTTTGGCCAAATTTTAAATTTATCAAAAAAGTCATCAAATTTGTAACGAATATTTCTATTTGCATGTGTAATCCTTTGTAAGAAATTAATGTCAAATAGACTTGTCAATAATGTCTAAATTATTATGTTTTTAGTTTTGACCTCTAGCTCTAAAGGTACCATCACATTTTTGGCCAAATTTTATATCCGTCAAAAAATTTTCCAAATTTGAGTTGAATGTTTCTATTTGCATGTAACATCTTTTGTAAAAATTTAATGTAAAAAAGACCTGTCAATAACGTCTTAATTATAATTTTCTTTTTGTCTCGAGCTCTTAGTGGTACCATCACATTTTTTTGCCAAATTTGAAATCCATCAAAAAAAGTTGCAAAATTTGGCATGAATATTTCTATTTGCATGTAAAATCCTTTGTAAAGTTCATGTAAAAAAGACTTGTCGATAATGTCTAAATTATTATTATTTTTAGTTTTAGTCTCGAACTTTAGAGGTACCATCACATTTTTTAGCTAAAATTTGAATTCATCAAAAAATTGCCTAATTTGGCATGGATGTTCTATGTGTATGTAAAATATTTTGTAAAAGTTTCAAGTCTAAAAATACTTTTCAATGGTGTTTAAATTATTAAGTTTTTAGTTTTGGTCTTGAGGTATAAGGGTACCATCACATTTTTTGGTCAAATTTTAAATTTATCAAAAAATGCCCAAATTTGAAATGGATATTTCTATTTGCATGTAAAATCTTTTGTAAAAGTTTAAGGTTAAAGCGAGTTGTCAATAACGTCTTAATTATTATTTTTAGTTTTGGCCTTGAGCTCTTATAGGTAACATCACATTTTTTGGCCAAATTTCAAATCCATAAAAAAGTTGCAAAAATTTGACATGGATTTTCTATTTGCATGTAAAATCCGTTATAAGAGTTTCATGTCAAAAAGACTTGTCAATAATGTCTAAATTATTATTTTTTAGTTTTGGCTTCGAGCTCTAGAAATACCATCACATTTTTGGCCAAATTTTAAATTCATGAAAAAAATTTCCAAATTTGACATGGATATTTTCATTTGCATGTAAAATTCTTTATAAAAGTTTAATGTCAAAAAGACTTGTCAATAACGTCTTAATTATTAGTTTTTAGTTTTGGCCTCGAGCTCTAGGGTTACCACCTCATTTTTTGGCCAAATCTTAGATACATCAAAAAAGTTGTAAAATTTGAGATGAGTGTTTCTATTTGCATGTAAAATCTTTTGTAAATGTTTTAATGTCAAAAGAACTTGTCGATAATGTCTAAATTTTTATTTTTTTTAATTTTAGCCTCGAGCTCTAGAGGTACTACCATCACATTTTTTTGCCAAAATTTAAATTCATCAAAATAGTTTCCAAATTTGTCATGGATGTTGTTACTTGCATATAAAATCCTTTATAAAAGTTTTATGTTAGAAAGACTTGTCATTTGTCATTTGTCAATAATGTCTTAATTATTATTTTTTAGTTTCGACCTCGAGCTCTTAGGGGTTTGCCAAATTTTGAATCCTTTAAAAAAGTTGCAAAATTTGATAAGAATGTGTTCTATTTGCATGTAAAATAATTATTATTATTTTTAGTTTTGGCCTTTGAGCTCTAGGGTACCATATTTTGGTTAGATTTTAAATTAATCAAAAAAGTTGCCAAATTTAACATAGATGTTTCTATTTGTATGAAAAAACTGTTGTGAAAAAAACTTATGTCAAAAAGACTTGTCAATAATGTTTTAATTATCATGTTTTTTAGTTTTGGTCTCGAGCTCTCGGGGGTACCATCACATTTTTTTGGCCAAATTTTAAATTTATCAAAAATGTTTTATAATTTGATATTTATGTTTCTGTTTACATGTAAAATCCTTTATAAAAGTTTAATGTCAAAGAGACTTGTCAACAATGTCTAAGTTATTATTTTTTTAGATTTGGCTTCGCTACTTTTCTTATCACGGTGTCAGGTATTGACAACTCAACCTGATGAGGTATATGAGTCG